AACTAAAAGTACATTTTTCACTGGTTCTCTGAGGGTATTTCTACCAGATTTTCACCTCAGAAAGGCAGACAAAAATTATGATCAAGTTATATTTAAGAGAACAAAAAAGAAGGAATATTTTTTTCAAGTTATCAAGAAAATATGTTTGTACAAACTAAAAGTACATTTTTCACTGGTTCTCTGAGGGTATTTCTACCGGGTTTTCACCTCAGAAAGGCAGACAAAAATTGTGTTCAAGTTATATCTAAGAGAACAAAAAAGCAGGAATATTTTTTTCTAGTTATCAAGAAAATATGTTTGTACAAACTAAGACTACATTTTTCACTGGTTCTCTGAGGGTATTTCTACCGGGTTTTCACCTCAGAAAGGCAGACAAAAATTGAGTACAAGTTATATCTAAGAGAACGAGAAGGCAGGAATATTTTTTTCTAGTTATCAAGGAAATATGTTTGTACAAACTAAAAGTACATTTTTCACTGGTTCTCTGAGGGTATTTCTACCGGGTTTTCACCTCAGAAAGGCAGACAAAAATTGTGTTCAAGTTATATCTAAGAGAACAAAAAAGCAGGAATATTTTTTTCTAGTTATCAAGAAAATATGTTTGTACAAACTAAAAGCATATTTTTCACTGGTTCTCTGAGGGTATTTCTACCGGGTTTTCACCTCAGAAAGGCAGACAAAAATTGTGTTCAAGTTATATCTAAGAGAACAAAAAAGCAGGAATATTTTTTTCTAGTTATCAAGAAAATATGTTTGTAAAAACTAAATGCATATTTTTCACTGGATTTCTGAGGGTATTTCTACCGGGTTTTCACCTCAGAAAGGCAGACAAAAATTGTGTACAAGTTATATCTAAGAGAACAAAAAAGCAGGAATATTTTTTTCAAGTTATCAAGGAAATATGTTTGTACAAACTAAAAGTACATTTTTCACTGGTTCTCTGAGGGTATTTCTACCGGGTTTTCACCTCAGAAAGGCAGACAAAAATTGTGTTCAAGTTATATCTAAGAGAACAAAAAAGCAGGAATATTTTTTTCTAGTTAGCAAGAAAATATGTTTGTACAAACTACAAGCATATTTTTCACTGGTTCTCTGAGGGTATTTCTACCGGGTTTTCACCTCAGAAAGGCAGACAAAAATTGTGTACAAGTTATATCTAAGAGAACAAAAAAGCAGGAATATTTTTTTCAAGTTATCAAGAAATATGTTTGTACAAACTAAAAGTACATTTTTCACTGGTTCTCTGAGGGTATTTCTACCGGGTTTTCACCTCAGAAAGGCAGACAAAAATTGTGTTCAAGTTATATCTAAGAGAACAAAAAAGCAGGAATATTTTTTTCAAGTTATCAAGAAAATATGTTTGTACAAACTAAAAGCTACATTTTTCACTGGTTCTCTGAGGGTATTTCTACCGGGTTTTCACCTCAGAAAGGCAGACAAAAATTGTGTACAAGTTATATCTAAGAGAACAAAAAAGCAGGAATATTTTTTTATAGTTAGCAAGGAAATATGTTTGTACAAACTAAAAGTACATTTTTCACTGGTTCTCTGAGGGTATTTCTACCGGGTTTTCACCTCAGAAAGGCAGACAAAAATTGTGTTCAAGTTATATCTAAGAGAACAAAAAAGCAGGAATATTTTTTTCAAGTTATCAAGGAAATATGTTTGTACAAACTAAAAGTACATTTTTCACTGGTTCTCTGAGGGTATTTCTACCAGATTTTCACCTCAGAAAGGCAGACAAAAATTGTGATCAAGTTATATCTAAGAGAACAAAAAAGCAGGAATATTTTTTTCTAGTTATCAAGAAAATATGTTTGTACAAACTAAAAGCATATTTTTCACTGGTTCTCTGAGGGTATTTCTACCGGGTTTTCACCTCAGAAAGGCAGACAAAAATTGTGTTCAAGTTATATCTAAGAGAACAAAAAAGCAGGAATATTTTTTTCTAGTTATCAAGAAAATATGTTTGTACAAACTAAATGCATATTTTTCACTGGTTTCTGAGGGTATTTCTACCGGGTTTTCACCTCAGAAAGGCAGACAAAAATTGTGTACAAGTTATATCTAAGAGAACAAAAAAGCAGGAATATTTTTTTCAAGTTATCAAGGAAATATGTTTGTACAAACTAAAAGTACATTTTTCACTGGTTCTCTGAGGGTATTTCTACCGGGTTTTCACCTCAGAAAGGCAGACAAAAATTGTGTTCAAGTTATATCTAAGAGAACAAAAAAGCAGGAATATTTTTTTCTAGTTAGCAAGAAAATATGTTTGTACAAACTAAAAGCATATTTTTCACTGGTTCTCTGAGGGTATTTCTACCGGGTTTTCACCTCAGAAAGGCAGACAAAAATTGTGTACAAGTTATATCTAAGAGAACAAAAAAGCAGGAATATTTTTTTCAAGTTATCAAGGAAATATGTTTGTACAAACTAAAAGTACATTTTTCACTGGTTCTCTGAGGGTATTTCTACCGGGTTTTCACCTCAGAAAGGCAGACAAAAATTGTGTTCAAGTTATATCTAAGAGAACAAAAAAGCAGGAATATTTTTTTCAAGTTATCAAGAAAATATGTTTGTACAAACTAAAACTACATTTTTCACTGGTTCTCTGAGGGTATTTCTACCGGGTTTTCACCTCAGAAAGGCAGACAAAAATTGTGTACAAGTTATATCTAAGAGAACGAAAAGGCAGGAATATTTTTTTATAGTTAGCAAGGAAATATGTTTGTACAAACTAAAAGTACATTTTTCACTGGTTCTCTGAGGGTATTTCTACCGGGTTTTCACCTCAGAAAGGCAGACAAAAATTGTGTTCAAGTTATATCTAAGAGAACAAAAAAGCAGGAATATTTTTTTCTAGTTAGCAAGAAAATATGTTTGTACAAACTAAAAGCATATTTTTCACTGGTTCTCTGAGGGTATTTCTACCGGGTTTTCACCTCAGAAAGGCAGACAAAAATTGTGTACAAGTTATATCTAAGAGAACAAAAAAGCAGGAATATTTTTTTCAAGTTATCAAGGAAATATGTTTGTACAAACTAAAAGTACATTTTTCACTGGTTCTCTGAGGGTATTTCTACCGGGTTTTCACCTCAGAAAGGCAGACAAAAATTGTGTTCAAGTTATATCTAAGAGAACAAAAAAGCAGGAATATTTTTTTCAAGTTATCAAGGAAATATGTTTGTACAAACTAAAAGCATATTTTTCACTGGTTTCTGAGGGTATTTCTACCGGGTTTTCACCTCAGAAAGGCAGACAAAAATTGTGTACAAGTTATATCTAAGAGAACAAAAAAGCAGGAATATTTTTTTCAAGTTATCAAGAAAATATGTTTGTACAAACTAAGACTACATTTTTCACTGGTTCTCTGAGGGTATTTCTACCGGGTTTTCACCTCAGAAAGGCAGACAAAAATTGTGTACAAGTTATATCTAAGAGAACAAAAAGGCAGGAATATTTTTTTATAGTTAGCAAGGAAATATGTTTGTACAAACTAAAAGTACATTTTTCACTGGTTCTCTGAGGGTATTTCTACCGGGTTTTCACCTCAGAAAGGCAGACAAAAATTGTGTTCAAGTTATATCTAAGAGAACAAAAAAGCAGGAATATTTTTTTCTAGTTAGCAAGAAAATATGTTTGTACAAACTAAAAGCATATTTTTCACTGGATTTCTGAGGGTATTTCTACCGGGTTTTCACCTCAGAAAGGCAGACAAAAATTGTGTACAAGTTATATCTAAGAGAACAAAAAAGCAGGAATATTTTTTTCAAGTTATCAAGAAAATATGTTTGTACAAACTAAGACTACATTTTTCACTGGTTCTCTGAGGGTATTTCTACCGGGTTTTCACCTCAGAAAGGCAGACAAAAATTGTGTACAAGTTATATCTAAGAGAACGAGAAGGCAGGAATATTTTTTTATAGTTAGCAAGGAAATATGTTTGTACAAACTAAAAGTACATTTTTCACTGGTTCTCTGAGGGTATTTCTACCGGGTTTTCACCTCAGAAAGGCAGACAAAAATTGTGTTCAAGTTATATCTAAGAGAACAAAAAAGCAGGAATATTTTTTTCTAGTTATCAAGAAAATATGTTTGTACAAACTAAGACTACATTTTTCACTGGTTCTCTGAGGGTATTTCTACCGGGTTTTCACCTCAGAAAGGCAGACAAAAATTGTGTTCAAGTTATATCTAAGAGAACAAAAAAGCAGGAATATTTTTTTCTAGTTATCAAGAAAATATGTTTGTACAAACTAAAAGCATATTTTTCACTGGTTCTCTGAGGGTATTTCTACCGGGTTTTCACCTCAGAAAGGCAGACAAAAATTGTGTTCAAGTTATATCTAAGAGAACAAAAAAGCAGGAATATTTTTTTCTAGTTATCAAGAAAATATGTTTGTAAAAACTAAATGCATATTTTTCACTGGTTCTCTGAGGGTATTTCTACCGGGTTTTCACCTCAGAAAGGCAGACAAAAATTGTGTACAAGTTATATCTAAGAGAACAAAAAAGCAGGAATATTTTTTTCAAGTTATCAAGGAAATATGTTTGTACAAACTAAAAGCATATTTTTCACTGGATTTCTGAGGGTATTTCTACCGGGTTTTCACCTCAGAAAGGCAGACAAAAATTGTGTACAAGTTATATCTAAGAGAACAAAAAAGCAGGAATATTTTTTTCAAGTTATCAAGGAAATATGTTTGTACAAACTAAAAGTACATTTTTCACTGGTTCTCTGAGGGTACTTCTACCGGGTTTTCACCTCAGAAAGGCAGACAAAAATTGTGTTCAAGTTATATCTAAGAGAACAAAAAAGCAGGAATATTTTTTTCAAGTTATCAAGGAAATATGTTTGTACAAACTAAAAGCATATTTTTCACTGGTTCTCTGAGGGTATTTCTACCGGGTTTTCACCTCAGAAAGAGAGAAAAATTTATAAAATTTTAATTGAAAAAAAATAACTAATGAAAAAAAGGATACAAAAATTGAAATAATGACCTTTTACCTTAGGCGGAATTTTAATTCCCTCTCATTAAAATTTTGACGACCAAATAAAAAATAATTTTCAGTAGTTATAACTCCTTTAAACTAGCTCTGTTTAATATATTTGGTTCCTTTATCTCTTATTTGGATGTTGACATAATTTTTAACATGTCAATGCTCGATACTTGAATTACTCGCTGATAAAATTTAGTATTAGACACCTGTTTTCCAATTTTTTATTATTTGTGCTGCATTATTGTAGAAATAACTTCAATTTACATTGTTGGTTGTTCTTCTTTAAGAACCTAAAAAAATTTTGGAAATATTACAAACTGAATTACCAATCAACTACTTTTTTGTCGTTTTGAAAGAAAAAGCGTTGTCAAAGCAAATGTACATTTTTCACTGGCTCTCTGAGGGTATTTCTACCGGGTTTTCACCTCAGAAAGGCAGACAAAAATTGTGTTCAAGTTATATCTAAGAGAACAAAAAAGCAGGAATATTTTTTTCTAGTTATCAAGAAAATATGTTTGTAAAAACTAAATGCATATTTTTCACTGGTTCTCTGAGGGTATTTCTACCGGGTTTTCACCTCAGAAAGGCAGACAAAAATTGTGTTCAAGTTATATTTAAGAGAACAAAAAAGAAGGAATATTTTTTTCTAGTTAGCAAGGAAATATGTTTGTACAAACTAAAAGTACATTTTTCACTGGTTCTCTGAGGGTATTTCTACCGGGTTTTCACCTCAGAAAGGCAGACAAAAATTGTGTTCAAGTTATATCTAAGAGAACAAAAAAACAGGAATATTTTTTTCTAGTTATCAAGAAAATATGTTTGTACAAACTAAAAGCATATTTTTCACTGGATTTCTGAGGCTATTTCTACCGGGTTTTCACCTCAGAAAGGCAGACAAAAATTGTGTACAAGTTATATCTAAGAGAACAAAAAAGCAGGAATATTTTTTTCAAGTTATCAAGGAAATATGTTTGTACAAACTAAAAGTACATTTTTCACTGGTTCTCTGAGGGTACTTCTACCGGGTTTTCACCTCAGAAAGGCAGACAAAAATTGTGTTCAAGTTATATCTAAGAGAACAAAAAAGCAGGAATATTTTTTTCTAGTTATCAAGAAAATATGTTTGTAAAAACTAAATGCATATTTTTCACTGGATTTCTGAGACTATTTCTACCGGGTTTTCACCTAAGAAAGGCAGACAAAAATTGTGTACAATTTATATCTAAGAGAACAAAAAAGCAGGAATATTTTTTTCAAGTTATCAAGGAAATATGTTTGTACAAACTAAAAGTACATTTTTCACTGGTTCTCTGAGGGTACTTCTACCGGGTTTTCACCTCAGAAAGGCAGACAAAAATTGTGTTCAAGTTATATCTAAGAGAACAAAAAAGCAGGAATATTTTTTTCTAGTTAGCAAGAAAATATGTTTGTACAAACTACAAGCATATTTTTCACTGGTTCTCTGAGGGTATTTCTACCGGGTTTTCACCTCAGAAAGGCAGACAAAAATTGTGTACAAGTTATATCTAAGAGAACAAAAAAGCAGGAATATTTTTTTCAAGTTATCAAGGAAATATGCTTGTACAAACCAAAAGTTCATTTTTCACTGGTTCTCTGAGGGTATTTCTACCGGGTTTTCACCTTAGAAAGGCAGACAAAAATTGTGATCAAGTTATATTTAAGAGAACAAAAAAGCAGGAATATTTTTTTCAAGTTATCAAGGAAACATGTTTGTACAAACTAAAAGTACATTTTTCACTTGTTCTCTGAGGGTATTTCTAACGGGTTTTCACCTCAGAAAGGCAAACAAAAATTGTGTTCAAGTTATATCTAAGAGAACAAAAAAACAGGAATATTTTTTTCAAGTTATCAAGAAAATATGTTTGTACAAACTAAGACTACATTTTTCACTGGTTCTCTGAGGGTATTTCTACCGGGTTTTCACCTCAGAAAGGCAGACAAAAATTCTGTACAAGTTATATCTAAGAGAACGAGAAGGCAGGAATATTTTTTTATAGTTAGCAAGGAAATATGTTTGTACAAACTAAAAGTACATTTTTCACTGGTTCTCTGAGGGTATTTCTACCGGGTTTTCACCTCAGAAAGGCAGACAAAAATTGTGTTCAAGTTATATCTAAGAGAACAAAAAAGCAGGAATATTTTTTTCAAGTTATCAAGGAAATATGTTTGTACAAACTAAAAGCAGATTTTTCACTGGTTCTTTGAGGGTATTTCTACCGGGTTTTCACCTCAGAAAGAGAGAAAAATTTATAAAATTTTAATTGAAAAAAAATAACTAAAGAAAAAAAGGATACAAAAATTGAAATAATGACCTTTTACCTTAGGCGGAATTTTAATTCCCTCTCATTAAAATTTTGACGACCAAAAAAAAATAATTTTCAGTAGTTATAACTCCTTTAAACTAGCTCTGTTTAATATATTTGCTTCCTTTATCTCTTATTTGGATGTTGACATAATTTTTAACATGTCAATGCTCGATACTTGAATTACTCGCTGATAAAATTTAGTATTAGACACCTGTTTTCCAATTTTTTATTATTTGTGCTGCATTATTGTAGAAATAACTTCAATTTACATTGTTGGTTGTTCTTCTTTAAGAACCTAAAAAAATTTTGGAAATATTACAAACTGAATTACCAATCAACTACTTTTTTGTCGTTTTGAAAGAAAAAGCGTTGTCAAAGCAAATGTACATTTTTCACTGGCACTCTGAGGGTATTTCTACCGGGTTTTCACCTCAGAAAGGCAGACAAAAATTGTGTTCAAGTTATATCTAAGAGAACAAAAAAGCAGGAATATTTTTTTCTAGTTATCAAGAAAATATGTTTGTAAAAACTAAATGCATATTTTTCACTGGTTCTCTGAGGGTATTTCTACCGGGTTTTCACCTCAGAAAGGCAGACAAAAATTGTGTACAAGTTATATCTAAGAGAACAAAAAAGCAGGAATATTTTTTTCAAGTTATCAAGGAAATATGCTTGTACAAACCAAAAGTTCATTTTTCACTGGTTCTCTGAGGGTATTTCTACCGGGTTTTCACCTTAGAAAGGCAGACAAAAATTGTGATCAAGTTATATTTAAGAGAACAAAAAAGAAGGAATAATTTTTCTAGTTAGCAAGGAAATATGTTTGTACAAACTAAAAGTACATTTTTCACTGGTTCTCTGAGGGTATTTCTACCGGGTTTTCACCTCAGAAATGCAGACACAAATTATGTTCAAATTATATCTAAGAGAAGAAAAAAGCAGGAATATTTTTTTCTAGTTATCAAGAAAATATGTTTGTACAAACTAAAATCATATTTTTCACTGGTTCTCTGAGGGTATTTCTACCGGGTTTTCACCTCAGAAAGGCAGACAAAAATTGTGTTCAAGTTATATCTAAGAAAACAAAAAAGCAGGAATATTTTTTTCTAGTTAGCAAGAAAATACGTTTGTACAAACTACAAGCATATTTTTCACTGGTTCTCTGAGGGTATTTCTACCGGGTTTTCACCTCAGAAAGGCAGACAAAAATTGTGTACAAGTTATATCTAAGAGAACAAAAAAGCAGGAATATTTTTTTCAAGTTATCAAGGAAACATGTTTGTACAAACTAAAAGTACATTTTTCACTTGTTCTCTGAGGGTATTTCTAACGGGTTTTCACCTCAGAAAGGCAAACAAAAATTGTGTTCAAGTTATATCTAAGAGAACAAAAAAACAGGAATATTTTTTTCAAGTTATCAAGAAAATATGTTTGTACAAACTAAGACTACATTTTTCACTGGTTCTCTGAGGGTATTTCTACCGGGTTTTCACCTCAGAAAGGCAGACAAAAATTCTGTACAAGTTATATCTAAGAGAACGAGAAGGCAGGAATATTTTTTTATAGTTAGCAAGGAAATATGTTTGTACAAACTAAAAGTACATTTTTCACTGGTTCTCTGAGGGTATTTCTACCGGGTTTTCACCTCAGAAAGGCAGACAAAAATTGTGTTCAAGTTATATCTAAGAAAACAAAAAAGCAGGAATATTTTTTTCTAGTTAGCAAAAAAATACGTTTGTACAAACTACAAGCATATTTTTCACTGGTTCTCTGAGGGTATTTCTACCGGGTTTTCACCTCAGAAAGGCAGACAAAAATTGTGTACAAGTTATATCTAAGAGAACAAAAAAGCAGGAATATTTTTTTCTAGTTAGCAAGGAAAAACGTTTGTTCAAACTAAGACTATATTTTTCACTGGTTCTCTGAGGGTATTTCTACCGGGTTTTCACCTCAGAAAGGCAGACAAAAATTGTGTACAAGTTATATCTAAGAGAACAAAAAAGCAGGAATATTTTTTTCTAGTTAGCAAGGAAAAACGTTTGTTCAAACTAAGACTATATTTTTCACTGGTTCTTTGAGGGTATTTCTACCGGGTTTTCACCTCAGAAAGGCAGACAAAAATTCTGTACAAGTTATATCTGAGAGAACGAGAAGGCAGGAATATTTTTTTATAGTTAGCAAGGAAATATGTTTGTACAAACTAAAAGTACATTTTTCACAGGTTCTCTGAGGGTATTTCTACCGGGTTTTCACCTCAGAAAGGCAGACAAAAATTGTGTTCAAGTTATATCTAAGAGAACAAAAAAGCAGGAATATTCTTTTCTAGTTATCAAGAAAATATGTTTGTACAAACTAAAAGCATATTTTTCACTGGTTCTCTGAGGGTATTTCTACCGGGTTTTCACCTCAGAAAGGCAGACAAAAATTGTGTACAAGTTATATCTAAGAGAACAAAAAAGCAGGAATATTTTTTTCAAGTTATCAAGGAAATATGTTTGTACAAACTAAAAGTACATTTTTCACTGGTTCTCTGAGGGTATTTATACCGGGTTTTCATCTCAGAAACGCAGACAAAAATTGTGTACAAGTTATATCTGAAAGAAAAAGAAAGTAGAAATAATTTTTTCTAATTATCAAGAAAATATGTTTGTAAAAACTAAATGCATATTTTTCACTGGATTGCCGAGGATATTTCTACCGGGTTTTCACCACAGAAAGGCAGACAAAAATTGGGTAGAAGTTATATCTAAGAGAACGAGAAGGCAGGAATATTTTTTTCTAGTTATCAAGGAAATATGTTTGTACAAACTTAAAGTACATTTTTCACTGGTTCTCTGAGGGTATTTCTACCGGGTTTTCACCTCAGAAAGGCAGACAAAAATTGTGTTCAAGTTATATCTAAGAGAACAAAAAAGCAGGAATATTTTTTTCTAGTTATCAAGAAAATATGTTTGTACAAACTAAAAGCATATTTTTCACTCGTTCTCTGAGGGTATTTCTACCGGGTTTTCACCTCAGAAAGGCAGACAAAAATTGTGTTCAACTTATATCTAAGAGAACAAAAAAGCAGGAATATTTTTTTCTAGTTAGCAAGAAAATATGTTTGTACAAACTAAAAGCATATTTTTCACTGGATTTCTGAGGCTATTTCTACCGGGTTTTCACCTCAGAAAGGCAGAAAAAAATTGTGTACAAGCTATAGCTAAGAAAACGAGAAGGCAGAAATATTTTTTTCTAGTTATCAAGGAATTATGTTTGTACAAACTAAAAGTATATTTTTCACTGGTTTTCTGAGGGTATTTCTGCAGGGTTTTCACCACAGAAAGTCAGACAAAAATTGTGTACAATGTAATGCTAAGCGAGAAAGTAAGTAGGAAAATTTTTCTGCAGTTATAAAGGAAAAATCTTTAACAAAACCAAAAGAATGTTTTTTACTGTTTCTCTTGTGGTATTTCTACTGTTTTCACCTTTTTGGAAAGGGAGACAAAAATTGCGTACAAGCTAATTCTATGCGAGAAAGAAAGTATGAATAGTTTTCATTCGAATCTACTGAAAAAAATCCCTTCTTTCTTCCTTGACAAGAATTATCTAAAAGAGAATTTTCGTCTCCTTTTTGAAAGTGAATTCAGTTTAGAAAAACTATCTGAGGACCCGTGACACGACTAACTTTTGATACTGACAAAGATTTCTCCTTTTAATCTTCTGAAAAATAATCCTACTTTCTTTTTTGACTCGAATTAACTAGAAGACAGTTTTTGTCTCCCTTTCGGTGGTGACAACACAGTAGATTTTTTTGTATGTCAGTTGGGGTAAATCGAAACAGTAGTTATTTCAGTTAAATATAAATTTTTTAAAATAAATACGGTCTTAAACCTTATAACATCCCCACAGGTTCTAAGATAAAAAATTTTATATGATTATTTAAACACGGGAGAAGTACGGGATCCCGCTATAGATGTAGCTCTCCGTAACTCTGATTGTGGGCTAGAGAATACCCCGATTACTAGACGTATCTAGCTCACAGAGTTACGCAGAGTTACGTCTATAGCGGGAGGTATTAGATTCCGTACTTCTCTCCGTGTAATTTTCTCTTATTAATACTACAAAAAAAATCAACTTTGATTTTTTCATTTTTCAAAATTTAATTAAAAATAGGAGACTGTTTCTATTTACCCCTATAAACTGGAAATTCGGCGTAAATAGAAACAGAAATTTTAACAATATTTCTTAAATTTGAGAGAGAGAAAATTGTTTCTATTAACTACAACACTGTTTTCAGCATTATAAAAATGTATTGAAAATAGTATTCATCTATATTCTTATCAGTACATAGTATTTAACATGGTTTACTTTTAAACTTATGTAATGCATTATTATTTAGGTGAAAATTTCTCAACTGGGCCACCTAAAACTGACTTTTCAAATTTAAAATATTTTTTTTTCATAATCTATTGCAGGAAGCCGAATTAAAAACATTCCTGAAATGCGTTTTTAAAAAAATTATTTTTTTAATTATTTAGGGTCAGCCGGGGTAAATCCGAACGGGGGGTAAATCCGAACGCTAATTATTTCGGCTTAATTAAAATTTTTAAAAATAAGTTCGATATGAGAATTTTTACCTCAGATCCTCTTCAAGAGATTCTAAGTATTATCCCATTTTTCGTTTGTTAATTAGCAACAGCATAAACAAAGATAACGAGTATTGCAAAAAAGATTGAAAATCAAAGATGACACTCTTTCAGTATTTTGTCTCGTATTTGAAGAAAAAGAAGCTAAAAATTTATTTTATTATTTATAATTGTTTGTTATGAATACTAGAACAGAAACTATTTTTCATTTTTGCCTTCTGTAAAATTTTATTAATATTATCAGACCGTTCGTATTTACCCAGGAAAATTGGAAAACCGGGGTAAATCCGAACGGTATTTTCAATAATTTTTTTTTACATCAGAGCCACACAAAATTGTTTTTATTTGATTACACTATTATTTTAACATTATAAAAGTACATAGAAAAAAGTTTTTTTTTCTATACGTATCCTCGTTAGTAATTAATAAGCAGAAACTTAATCTCTGTTCTCTCGAAGGAGTGTTTCAATTTTTTTGCCAAATGGTTTGTTGAAAAAAGTTTTTCAGGATCTTAATAAAATTTGGTATTCTACGGTTTTTGGGGTCGCTAATTACCAATTTGAAGTCAGTTTTTCAAAATTCAAAATGGCGGACGAGAATTAAAAAATTCATTGGATTCGCTCGAAAATTGTTACTCGGGGGGTTTCAGGGTTAGCAAATTTGATCATTTTTAAAAATAAGTTTTAGGAAAGTCCGCCATTTTGAATTTAAAAAATTTGACTTTTATTTTTGTATTTACATTCAATCACTCCAAAATACTTTCTGTACCAAGTTTTGCAAAAATCCGTTATGATTTGATAAAGTTATTGAATGTTTTAATTGTGTAATGCATTTTAATTTTTAACCTGTTTGATTTTTGTATTTATATATGATGCATTATTACATAATAGGTTTATTATCGTATTTTTTCAGTTTTTATATAAGTTTAACAATTGCAATACTTTAAATTTATTTTCCCTAAGATTTTTCTGAAATACAGTGGCGTTCGTATTTACCCCGGTATTTTAGGAAAGTTGCAAAGTATCGAGGTAAATACGAACGCTAAGTTTCCTGCGATTGTAATTTATCAAAAATTTTTGCTACCCCATAAAATTGTTCTATGGAAGTAAAGTAACAACTTCATGCACCAGAATACCGGAAGTATTTTTTTTTTAAAGAAAAAACTTATGTTATTGTTGAAACTTACTAAAAGCGTTCGGATTTACCCCGGCTGACCCTAATTGAATATTTTGTTACCTTTCCACTAAATTTGCAATTACTCTGTTGCTTGTTAATGAAATTTAATAAAATTTTGTGAGCATATAGAAAAATTATGTCTCTTTGAAATGCAATAAAAATTTCAATTAACCTTTATTGTTTATGCAAAAAAAATTGTTTATTTAATAAACAAATGAATATTTAAACTATTTCTCATATTTTTAGGAAAAAATTTTAAAAACGACATAAATCTACACTTTCTCAACTTTAATTTTAAAAAAAATCTTAGTACCTTTAAAAAATGAGTAAATTACGCGAATTTGAAGAGCGACGTGCAAGCGCTGGAACAATCACCACTGCCGCGCGCGGCGCGCTATTACGCATCGAAGCCTATTCTCTGTTATCGAATTATACTAACTTATACTAATATAATTTATAGTAATACTAATTTAGCTAAATAAAAATTTGGTTTAGCGAAAATTTAATTAAATAAGAATTTGGTTAAATAAAAATTAGGCTTTAATAACAATTCTATTAAAAAAAAATCCGTTAAATAAAAATTTTTATATAACCGAATTTTTATTAAAGCCTAATTTTTATTTAACCAAGTTCTTATTTAATTAAATTTTCTCTAAAACAAATTTTTATTTATCCAAATTAGTATTAGTATAAATTAGTATCACTAGAGAAAATTTTACATTGGAATGTAAAATTTTCTCTAGTGATACTAATTCTGTTACTTGCAAAATAATTCAATAAATATTCGTTTTTTTAAACAAATTCTCAGAAACCATTTGTAACGAAAAGTTATATGATTGTTAAATAATAAAATAAAGAAAAAATTTGATATTCAAAAATTCTAGTCAATAATTTGATAACAGAGAATAGGCTCTCTCGCATAATACGTATACTGCTCCGTATACGTACGATCAATTGTCGCGCGTCAGACTCGCGTTCCATTTGTGGAATCACCATGACGGAGATATTAATTTGAAAAGTTCGGAAAAATACGGAGATCGCGTACTTTTAACTCAATATTTATTGTATATTTAAAGTAAAATTAATTATAATGCTAAGAAAATCTGAAACTTCATCAAGAATACTCTATAATCGGTAAGTTTTTATTTAATTTAATTTTTATTAATACAAATATTATATTAATTAATTAAAATATATTAATTATACGAACCAACTTTAAAAACATATTTTACCTATTATTTTAATTTATTTAGTAGTTTAATCATTAAAATATAAATAATCAATCAATTTCAAACAAGAATCAATAATATTTTTTACACTTTTAATAATTGCTTCCTCGTGGAGGAAGCTTTGTAGTCCTTTCGTTTATAAAATTTTTAAACATGGTGAAAACAAATTTTCCTCTATATAGAAACATGTTATATAAGATCCTGATCAATTGTCCGGATGTATGTATGTGTGTGTGTGTGTGTGTATCGTTTTTGTGAACACGATATCTTTAACAGGTTTTAATGTATTTGGATAAAATTTGGTAGGCTTATTTATCACATTAATCTCTCAAAAATGACGAGATGATTTTTAAAAATACCCAAAAAAAAAAATTTTATCGTCTTTTTTTCAAATTTTTTTTTTAATAGAAAAAATTTTTAAATAGAAAAATTTAAAGTAATATATCACATAATCATCTTCTTTATGTCAAAACGAATCGATTAGTATATATGTATATAAAGTATAGATTTGATTAAATTTAAAGAATTAAAGAAAGTTAAAAAATAAAAAATTCATATTTTAGCTAAAAAATGTTGTGTTTATTAAAATTCAAGTTTATATATGAAATAATTTTATTCCCTTCATTAAAACGAATCTATTGGTATATATAAAGTATAGATTTGATTTAAATTTTAAGAATTAATAAAAATTGAAAAATCAAAAATTCATGTTTTAGCTAAAAAATTTTGTGTTTTTTTAAATTCAAGTTAATACATAAAATAATATTGAATTCCTTGCATTGAAACGAATCGATTCGTACATATAAAGTATATGTTACACCCAAAATCAATTAAAATTTTCTTAATTTTTCAAAAAATTTAATTAATTTAAATCAGTTTTTAACTCGAAATGTTTTAAGAAAAATAATTTTTTTTTACATAATTCTTTTTATTTTATTCCCTAGATTTTATACAGAATCATTTCTAAAAAAAATAAATTTTTTCTAAAATTCGGCCGCAACAACTTCTTTCGAAATATAATGGTCTGACCCTATTGTAATTAAATCCCCAAAGGATTTTAAAAAATTAGCTCGCATTTCTGTTTTATGGATTTTTGAAGTTATACTAATTTTTAAAAATATTTTTGTAATATTTTTAGTATTTTTCGATTAATTATTAAATAGATCAAAATTATTAAATATTTTAGATTAGAAAATTTGAAAAATATAATATTTATTTGGTTTATGGTGATCATAAAAATTTTTTAATTAAGTTTTTGTCATTTTTTCAACAATTTCCTTGTTTTTGCTGCCAAGTTTTGCAATGTAATAAGATTTTTAAAAAAATAGTAATTAATGTTCGGTTTATTCTATTTTTATTTACATTGAATGAAAAATCAGAAAAAAATTACATTGCAAAGCTTATGTTGTATGAAATGAAAAAAAAAATTGTGGTAAAATTCAGAAAATTGGGTCAAAAGGAGATTTCTTATAACCATAACGCAAATAAATAAACATATTTCGATTTTTCATTAATTATTTAAGACTTAAAATGTGCAAAACAATTTTTCTAAATCATAATTTGATCAAATTTTTAAAAGTAAAATTAAAAAAAATTAAACAAATCGTTGTTGCAACTTCCAAAGCCCATAAAAATCGATCTAATTTTTCGAAATCGTTTGTGGAGTTTAATTTGTCTATAGGTATATTAAGTTAATTTAAGGCTAGACGAACTCGGGGAAGAAACGATGACCCAAAAATTGTTGCACAGTGTTTATTAATTATTTTATTATAAGGAGAAATGAAATTAAAATTTACTTGTGTAAAATTGAATTGAAATGTATAAAATAAGTGAGAAAAAAAAATAGTTAAAATTTTAAATTACCTCTTCTTCTATGACAGTTGCAGTTGCAATATGAATAAAATTTCGTCCTCTCTCGTAGGCTTTTATATTTCTATTGAATGCAATTCTTCGATTATAATAATACACATCTAAAATTTGTCTCTTTCGAAGACTATTGAAATTTTTTCATCCACATTGACAAATTCTTAGCAATTACCAGACCATCGATACTTCCAATTATTTCCACTCTCGTTGCATCGAAAATTCCACGTTTATTAGACACATAAAATATAGAAGGACGATTTGAACTATTCCAAAATCTTGTTGCACCAATTCAACAATACCTGCAAGTGAAGCAGCCAAAATCTTATCCACTTTCAATGGCGATAGAGAGAGAGTGAGAGTGATTATATCCACATTGATTGTTGTAACATTATTTCATCTTTCGGCACAATTAAATTAAATCAACTTCTTCTTCATTGAATTTAAAGTTAATAGATTCTTTCTCTGCAAAAAGTTATTATTATTATTATTTTCACAAGTAATTTCCAAATATTCGAAAACGGCTTTAAGTATTGCAGTGTAATTTAATCTTTCAGACACTAACAAATATAAATTAAGTAAAATTATATAATTTAGAGTGTCCAGCAATTCTTGAAAAAAAAACTCAGGGATTTTTCAAGATCCAAAATAATTTTTTTCAAGGTTAACTTTCGGTGTAGAAATTATGAAAATATTTTTTAAATTATAACAATAAATCACAATCATGTCATTAAACCTTGAATGTCTAAAAAAAAAAATTTTTTGTATTCAGCAGAGACTTTTAAGTTTTAATAATAATTATTATTTTAAGAGACCTTTTTACTTATGAAACTGAAGTTACCAACGTTGATTCAACGAAAAAATAAAATTTAAGAATTCTAATTCCCATCAATGAAATTTGATTATTTTCAACCCTCTGAAACTTGAAATAAAAAAAACAATATTTATCATTGTTTTGTCCCGAATTTTCCGAAAATTTCGAAATTTCAAATAATGTTGATATTTCCTCGACTCGGAAGCAATTTTTCACGTTTGATAATTATGTATTTCAATGCTAGAATCGTTTTAAAACTCAGGAAAATTGCTTCCAAATCGGGTAAAGCAGTGATTTTGATTTTTTTGTCACGGATTTTCCGAAAATCTCGAAATGTCAAGTAAATTGCTATTTCCTCACCTCGGAAGCAATTTTTCTTCTTTGATAATTATTTATTTCAATGCTAGAAGCCTTTAAAAAAAAAAGAAAATTTGCTTCCAAGTCGGGGAAATAGAAATTTTTTTGAAATTTCGGGATTTTTGGAAAATCTGTGAGAAAAAAGTCAAAATCACTGTTCTCCCCGATTTGGAAGCAATTTTCCTGTGTTTTAAAACGATTCTAGCATTGAAACAAATAATTATCAAACGAGAAAAATTGCTTCCGAGTCGAGGAAATATCAAAATTATTTGAAATTTCGAAATTTTCGGAAAATCAAAGACAAAACAATGATAAATATTGTTTTTTTTTTATTTCAGGTTTCAGAGGGTTGATAATAATCAAATTTCATTGATGGGAATTAGAATCCTTAAATTTAATTTTTTCGTTGAACCAACGTTGGTAACTTCAGTTTCATTTTTATTTTGAGTATTTAAATTTTAATGATCCAAGAAAATTAGATTTCTTTCTTGCATCATTTGGATTTTAATAACTTACTGGGTGTTCAAAAAAAGAAAATTTTAATTTTTGACTATTTTTATTTAAAAAATAGAAAATTCTGTTGGCAATAGAAACTAGTAAAAATTGTGAAAAAAATATAAGTATTTTTAAAAAATTTTTGGATTATAATTTCTAAACTGATTATAAAAATTAATATTTTTTATTGTTGACAATCATGTCTTTTTAGAATTTTATTGACACAAAAAATATTACAAATTCTTACCATCATTTTAAATTAAAAGGGGTCAAAAATTTTAATGATTCAAGGTTCTGTTATAAAATTCAAGGACTTTTAAAGGATTTCAATAAAATCCTTAGAAAATCATAATATAATGATTGAGGATATTTTTTTTTAATTTAGTCTCAAAAATATTTGTGAAACTCGATGAATTTCTAAATTCATTGATCGTAATATTAGCAAGTAAATTTTATTCCCTTGATGATATTATCTAATAATATTAATTAAAAAAAATAGGCTATTCATGACTTGATTTTGTAACGTTAAATTTTGCAAATTTTTAAAAACATTAAGTATTATTGAAAAACTATTTAACATAAAATATTAATTACTTATCAGAAACATAAATCAATTTACTCTGCACATAAAAATCATGAAATTTTTATAAAAGTATTTTATTTTATGATAATCGAATTTGAAAAATTTCACAATTTTTTTAAAGTTTGCTCCGTTTTGGAAATATTGAATTTAAAAAGTTTTTAATTAAGAAGATTAATTTTAGGACTTTAAAAATTGTATATATCTCTCTATTCTTATAAAAAAAAAAACATAGAGATATAAAATTGTTTTTTTTAATTTAAAGTCCAATAATTAATTTTTTTAAGTAAAGAAAAATTCAAATTTTATATTTACAAAACGAAGCAAAATACCTTCGTCAAATTTTAATTGAAAATAAATTATATTTGTAAAAAATATTTGTAAAACCACTTTTTTCAAGCATCGAAAGAAAAATTAAAAGTTTTCAAAAAATGTGAAATTTTCTTTTCAACGAAAAAATGTTTAAAACTGACACAAATTGTCGATATCTTCCATCAAAACCTTTACAAAAAAAAAAATTATATATAAAACTTAAAATATTAATTTAAAAAAATACCTTAGATTTGTCTTTTAGTCGTTTTTGTTTGTAATTTTAGAATTAGTTAATTTTTTTTTTTTTTATTTTTTAATGACAAGAACTACAAAGCTGTAAAATTATAAAAAAATACTCGACTAAGAGACAAATCGAACTGGCTAAGAGCCATCGAACGTGAAAAAAAGTTGAACTCGTGGTTGACGAATTATCTCACGACAACTTGATTCAGTGAAGATGTGATTATTTACATAATACGAAAATGTATCGCATAATTCACAAATCTTTGTAAAATCACATCACTCATATAAGCAGCAACCATTGCGAAAAGCCAATAGTTTAGAAAATCCAAACATCTAAAAAAATTAATATTATTTTTTATTTATTAACAAATTTATTTATTATTTATTTTATTTATTATTATTGTGATTGATAGGCCCACTGATCGCACTGTAATGTTATTGAAAAATCCCGAAAATCCGATCAATGACGTTTATTCTAACCTCAAATTTTCTAACAATTATCAATACACTTTTACATCTCACTGCCCTTCTTTATAATATTTTTGACTTTTTCACAAAAATGCAATTCAATCCATTTGGTATTTCACGAGAAAAGTGATTGAAAAAATATTATTGCGGCGGTCACGTGACCTAACAATCACGGTGTTCGTAAAAAGAAGAGAACATGTGGCTCAAAAAAAATTGGCAAAATAAACTATGATATTGATATTATTGTTGTCAAATTTCGAACAATTTATTAAATAAATGAAATAAATAAATGAAAATAATATACTGTATGACACACACGAAAAGTTGTCAATTTCTAAACGAGTGCAAAGTTTGCCGCATGATTGAACCGATGGTGTTAATTTCACTCGAGTTACACACGCGATGTATTTTATCAAATTGCACAATAAACAAGATGCTATAAATACCTTTAAAGAATAAAAAGTAATGGATTTTTAAAGATAATAAAAATATTAATTAGAAAATAAAACAAACGAATCGACAAATATACTGAACACTTTTCACAGATGAAATGTGAAGTTGGATATATGTGAATGGAAATCTAATTGGTCTGGCAGTTGTTGCTGAGAATGTAGGATGGCGCTAGTCATTCGTTCTATACACTAATACTGAAGAAATTAATTTGCAAAAAATACTTTTAAAATGAAAATTTTATAAATAATAACAAATTATAATAATAATTTATAGCATTAAATAAATTTAAATATAATATTAATACTTTATTGCGAATATGTTCTAAATAATAGAGGGCGGAAAAATTGTACCTTTCGTCCGCTATATAAAGCATGGAATGTAGTGTTTATCGTGCATATTGGATAAAAATAGGTTTTTTTAAAAAAAAAAAATTTTCCCTATCTTCCAAAATGGAAAAAATAATTTCACATAAATATATTATTATAAAAAGAAAAAAATTCTACTACTAAATGGAAATAAGTTTTTTTAAAAACATAATTTCTAAAGTACCTATATTTTGATATCTTAAAAATGAATTAATTGCAAGGAAAGAAAAAAAATAACAAATTTTATAAAAGTCTTTTCTGTAAAGGGGAAAAGTATTTTTAAGTCGTGGAAAATAGGATAAAAAGCGAAAAATTCATTCATATAAGAAATAATAATCTTTAATAAATTTCTATGAAATTAACAATAAATACAATAAATAAATTATTATTTAAAATTGATTAAATGTATATTTAATTCATTAGTAAATAATACTATATTTTATTAAACCTATAATATTAGGTTTATAAAAATTTTTCTAAACTTTAGAATTTTTAACATAAAAATTATGCTTTTTAACATATTTTCCAGAATTTGAAAATAATTTTATAAATTTTGAAATACTTTTACAAAATTTGATATAATTATTTTTTCTTCCGTTTTTCGAAATTCCACTACAGAGTTGAGATTTAGAGATATAATTTTTTAACTAAATATTTAAAAAATTATTGTTTTATAAATGACTAAGTTTGAAAGAAATTATCAGGTCTACAAAAACTTTCATATACAAATTATTAATAAGACAAATTTTCATTTTTCTATTAAAAAAGATTAATATTAATGTCCTAATTTGTCAAATTTTAAATAACGTTACCTAATTCGTTTCCTACTTTTAATAGGAATTATTATTAAATTAAAAATAATATAACAAATTAATAATAAATTATAATAATATAATATAATAATAATATAATTAATAATTATTAAATTAATTAAATTGAAATTATTAAATTTTTTTAATAATAATAATAAAACAAATTAGTAAAAAAAATTTTAAAGTTATTTAAAATTTTTTTTGATGTCTTATTTAAGCAATTTATTTGAATTTAAAATTTTGGCATAATTTTAAGTTTTAATGGTCAAAAAAAATTCTCAGAAGATTTGAAATTTAAAATAAATTTTCTGCAAATTTTATCTGTTGCAGTTTTTTTTTTAATATTTATTTTCTGCCAACAATTCAATTTTAGAGTTTTTATTTGAAACTTTTTTAAATAATTTAATTTTTAAAGAAATATCAAAATTAATAAAAATAATTGAATTTTGGAAGAGTAACATTTGAAATTTTTAGAAATAATTGAATTTCAAAAGAATTTTTTAAAGACTATAAATTAAATTTTACAGAATTGAAAATAGTTTAATAAATAATTTTAGATAACATTTTTTAAAAAAAATTTAATTTTCAAAAATTTACAATTCAGATTTTTGAAAATAATTGAACTTTAAGTGATTGTTAATTGAAATTTTTTTTGTGATTTCTGTGACTGAAGAAATTATTAAAAATTACAGACAAAATTCAAACAAAAATTGAAATTAAAAGTTTTTAATTGAAAAATGCTTACAGATACCTAATTGTATTTTCGTAGAATATTATAAAATTCATTAAAAATAATTTAATTTCAGAAATTTTATTTAATGATTTATTTTTTAATTTGTTGAATTTTATAAAATTTTAAATTTAAAAGTAGTTTAATTGAATTTTCGAAGAATATTATTAAAATCATTAAAAATAATTGAATTTCATGTGATTTTAAATTGAAAATTTTTGGTAATTTTAAATGATTTTAAAAAGTTTTTTTAAATTGTTGAATTTCATAAAAATTTTTATTGAAAAATAGTTTAAGATAATTGAATTTGTGAAGAATTTAATACTATTAATAATTTTAATACTATGCTCTCTGAAAAAAATTAAGTTTCTTAATTCAAAAGTTAATAGTTGATGTTTATAATTAAACAGCTATTTTTATAATATTGTTTCTATAGCAACTATTGACGAAAACAAAAGAAATAAAAATCAATTGTTTACATTTTAAGGTCAAAGTTTCAGTTTAGTAATATTGTTTCTGTAGTAACTTTTAACAGACAAAGGAAATAGAATTCAATAAAAAAGAAATGTTTGTAAAAAAAAATTATACGACCAAACATATTATTTACAACTATATAGGAACGTTCAGTGTACTCTAAAAGTGTATATTCAGAAAAACCGTCCACTTGAGGAGGTAAACTCTTCGAAATAATTTACTGTATTATACTTTTTTAAAATAAACAACGATAATTACAGAAAATGAAATTTTTTTCATAGCAATAGTTTTAAGTTTTTTAAAATAAAAAATATCTCTTAACTTACTTTTTCTAAGATGTACAAATTCTTATCTAAATGTCACCCAATCTATTATGTTTTGTTTTGTGCAAAAGAAAGAGTATAAAAAATAATCTTCTTCACAAATATAACAAAAATAAATATTTTGTTGAATTCACTTTATAAAAGCTAACTACAAAATGAAGGTACGAAATTTGATATTTGTAAATTTTCTTACAATTTTAACTGTGACTTTTCAAAATGGATTTGGAGATTTTCTTTGGATAAATCATTTGGTAAAGTACATAGAAGATTCAAAATTTTCACGGCTACTTTTAATTATTGATGACGACAATAAAACATCAAAACACATAATCGACGACGTTATACAAAAACTGAAATTTGTTCCATTTAATACAGTTGGACTAAAAAAAGCAACATTAGAACATGGAAAGGAACTGTCTCAAATGACTCAATTTAAAGATTTACAGTCAACAACATTAGTTATAACATTTCTCTCAGTAGAAAACAAAAAGTTTTCCAAAATTTTTGCCTCAGCAAAATTTTTAATTTCTTTGCATTCTCATGAACCGCGCACAAAATGTTTAACGATAGTTTCTTCAGGAGGTGATCAATACAGATACAATAAATTTCTTCAGCAAATGTGGTTAAATGATTTCTTGGATTTTACAATCTTTGAAATTAGCAAAAAAGAAGAAAAAGACGGTGCTTATTTAATTTCGTCACGATCAGAAAATGTAAAGATTCATTGGTACAATCCATTTACTAATGTTTATGAAATTAAAAATTACACTAATAAAAAGCAACCAATCTTTGTCAATAAATTGCAAAACATGAATGACTTTGAAATGAAAATAGGATCATTTAATTTTCCTCCATTCGTTTTTGTAAAACGGAATTCCAACGGATATCCTGTTAATGTTACTGGTCCAATGGCACAAATAACACGTGAAATTGCAGGAAAATTGCATTTTACCACAGTAGAAGTTCCATCACAAGTAGAATGGTTCGGTGTACTTAATCCATCAAAAGACAGTAAAAAAATTCCCAGTCTTATAGGTCAATTATCATCCAAAAAAATTCGATACATTACAAACTGGAGTAATTATTTAAAAAAAACAGTTCTTGCTAGAACAAAAGTTATCGATTTTGATCGATTTTGTGCTGTAATACCGGTACCCGAGAATTCAAATTGGAATGTACGCTATCAAACATCCTTGATTTACCTTGTCATTCTAATATTAAGTTTAAAGGGGATCACATGGATTATGAAATTTGATGATCAATTATGGTCTTTTGACTACATACTACAAGCAACGCTTGGTTTCACTGTTCCCAAGGAACCTCAAAAGAAACACGAAAAAATTGTATTTGCATCAATGTTGATCTCGTTCATGGTATTTTCTTCGACGATTTTTTCAATTCTAACGGATGTAAAAATAACAATGGGTTCAGTAATAATCATAGATACTTTGGAAAAACTAAATAAAACAAATCTTACCCCAATGATGAGAATAAATTATGCATCTGTATTTTCTGGTAATAAAGATCCAGTTATTAGAGATTTACTAAAGAAGACTTTGATTTTAACGAAAGATGAAGAATGTTTACAAATGTTAATTGAACACAGAAATGTCACGTGTTTCTTTAGACAAACCATGGCAATGTTTTTCATTGAGAAATACAAAAATTCAGATGGAAGTTCTCAATTGAAAGTCGTGGACGAACTTTTCTATTATTTACCCCAAGCTATGGTTCTAGAACCAGCATCACCATTTGTTAATGATTTTAATAAAATTATAACAAATCTGTTAGAATTTGGGTTGACATTATATTGGATGAAACCGTCTGATTTTCTTATAAGTGATGATGTAAAAAATTCACCAAACCCTGAGAAATTCTCATTATTGCCTTTTCTACTTCAAATTCTACTTGTTGGATATTCTATTTCATTTGTCATTTTTATCGGCGAAAGTTTGTTAAACTATATTAAAAGAATAATTTATCAAAGTAATCAACAATTGTTTGTTCTTAAATGCAAACATTGTTTCTCCTGTAAAGCTAGGTAATGCGTTAAATTAGGCCTTAAAGTTTCTTAACAGGGTCAGGTATTTTTTCATCAAAGAGTGTTTGAATTAGTGAGCAATTATTTGAAAAGGATGATATTGAACTGCTTTTAATAGCCCTGAAATACAAACTAGAGAGTAAGTTTAAAAAAATAAAAGCAATAATGACTAGACGAAATTTAGATCAAATATGTGGTTAATGAAAACAGGAATCAAACTCCACAATTTCGCAAAAAGCAAGGTAAATTTTAAATACCTAATGAAGATTAGATTGGATTATAATGAAAGCAATGTTCCAACTCCACCTTCTCCCAGAAAGTAAGATTTTCATTCGTACTCCTAAAGTCAAAATGGAGGACATCAGATTTAGCTCATATAATTAATTCAGTATCTATGGGAACTAAGAATTATAAACTTTGCCTGTTGTGAATAAATGGAGATTAAATCTTGATATTTAATTGACTGAATCTAATATCAATCTTTTTTATATTTACTGCGAATTCTACATTTCGCTATTTTATTCATACACAATTGAAATGAAAGTAATTTTTTCTAACTCTTGATTTAATCTTATTTATAAACTATTAGATTAATTGTAAACATCTTTATTAGGTTTAAGAAACAAAATTGTAGTGATACTAAAATCTCTCACTCTCTCTCTCTCTTTTAATTCAATCACTTAATACAATTTATCGATAATGAAGAACAATGAATAAATAGAAACAATATACAGACCTTAATACATATTGAGGTCACATTAAACCAGACTAAATTTAAAAGATCATATTTTTAAGATTATACTAATCAGAATAATTTGAGAAAATGGAATTTTATTTTTGCGCTATTAAAACACGGGTAGAAGAAAAGGGCAGAATGATTTCCGTTAAATAATCCTCTAAGAGCATAATTAAATAAAGACAAGTTCACACAGAATAAAACTGTGGGTCGATTATGTAATTTCATTTCCTCTTCCACCCTTCTACTTCTACTATTCCACTTCCACTACTCTACTTTCATAATTCCATTTCCACTTTCGTGAAAGTCAAACTGTGAAAGTGGAATGACAGTGAAAAGGTGATAGTTGAAGTGGAATGGTAAAAGTAGAAGTGGAAATGAAATTACATAATCGACCCCCTGGCAGAAAATAAATAAAAAGCGTACATGAATGAAAGACGTATAAAGAAAGTAGAATCATGCAGACTTTTTTAGATCTTGTGATATTAGTGAAAATTTCTAATTTTTAGTAATTCTTTACTAGAACTTCAGTAAAAAAAAAAAAATTAAAAATACTTAATAAATAATTATCAAATAGTTATATAGGTTACTAAAAGTTGGTGAAAAATTTTCTACTAATTTGAATTAGTGGGTGACTTTTCACTATAATTTATATTTAGAAAGTATGAAAGGATTAAAAAAACAGAAAAATAAAATTAATTTTACGCCCAAAAAAAAATTCTTGTGTTTAATTTTGTCAACAAAATTTCCTGTAATTAGAACTTTTATTTTATTATTATTATTCTGAAACCTTGTTCTATGAAACGTAAAATTTGCCTCTTTATAGAGAAACTTTCAAATCTTATTGAGACTTTCATTCTAGAAAGTTTAATATTATCATATGAGTAAGAATTTCAGAAGATATTCTCAAAGCAACATCAAGATCTATAAGTGGATGCAAAACACAATAAAGAGAAAATAAAAGAAAACCAAAAATGACGAATTCTGAATGATTATTTTTTGTTTTGTTTTTTTTTTTTTGCTCCCTTCATCCAAAATTGGATTCTGCGCGGCTAGGGATGATTTTCCTCCCTTGTAAGATATACGAATGAGATTCACGCACGCGTATTCGCTTATTGATCTCGAAAAACCACCCCACATGCAGTCACATCCGACGGGTAGTGGTCCACCGGCAACAAGCAATTCTCTGATTTTTCCACGAATTTCTGATAAATAGTGAAGATTATGTGAAATAAGGGGACACATACAAATAAAATAAAAAAAGAAATATCTTTCTCATATTGTTTTTCAAAAGAAAATTCAGAGAACGTTAGAAGAAAAAAAAATTTATAAAGCCAGAGTGTATAATGTAGCCTGAAGATTGTTCAATTATTGAAATAAAAACAATATCAATTATTTAAAGTGTGTTTTCAACTCTCGAAAGTAATGTGTGAATATGTATATTAGTGTGATTGGTTTTCCAATCTAACAAAATCAAAATCAAGGAAAACTTTTAATTAAACGATATGCAATTATTCACGTTGAGGAAAGTACAAAATTGAAGATTAATATTGCAATACATCCATGCGACGGAAAACGGTACCGCACAGGATTGTTTATCTTATCCATTCTGATGAACTTTTAAAGGTAGTTCAACCTAAACAGATTTTAAACAATACTTTTTATTTATAATTTATTCAATACAATATTTTTGCATAGTAAATTCTTAAAGGTCAAACTACATCTTATTTACGATTTTAAATAAATATATACTGCTGGCAACTAATAAGCAAACAGAAAGTTCTTCATAAATAAAAATAATTATCAAAGTTTGAATTTTTAAAGATTAGCATTAAATTATTATTATTAATAGGATAATTATTATTTTTCAAATATTAAGAACATTAATTCATTAACAACATTATTGAGGCTCAGGATCATAAAAGGGCAGAATTTGTATCACAACTTTTGACACCTGGTGTTAAAATTTTAAAATTGTTTAATATCAAATTTTAACAATTGACTCTTATCGTTTAAGAATTTTATATTGAAAAGTTTTTAAATTTTAACACCAGGGACAAAAAGTTGTGATTTAAATTCGAATCACCTTTTAAGATCAGGAGCCTCAAATTTTAAAAATCTGTTATTTATTTAAATGGTATCAAATTAGCATTTATTATTCTGGTACAATTGCCAGAATTAAAAAAATAAAATTTTTTATCAAAAATTTTTGCTGTTCAAAAATTAAACAACTTTTTCAATGATTTATATAAAAACACTATATATAACTTGATATTTTACGGAATTTAAAGAAATAAGAATAATTTAATTATTACAGTTAGCAAAATGTAAATTATCATTTGAATTTGAATGAAATAAATTATATTTAATTTATTCAGGATGATGATGAGAGTAACGGCGATTTAGTTCGCAAAACACGTGAGTCAAAGGAAAATAAGGATGTTGAAGAAGTTTATCCTAATTCTCGCGACAGGCTATTGCCTAGGAAATCCCGATGCCAAGAGATTGTACGATGATTTACTTTCAAACTATAATCGATTAATTAGACCTGTTTTGAATAATACAGACACTATCGTCGTCAAACTTGGTTTACGACTATCCCAACTTATAGATCTGGTAAGTAAACTTTACTAACAACAAACTGAATTATTCAAATAAACTACACGACAGAGTTGATAAAAATTCATGTTTTTAAAAATTGTTGATTTTTAAAAAATCAATAATTCTATAAAATTATACCGTACAGAAAAGTTTATAAATAACAAAATGGAGAGACGACGAAAAAGTGCGTCAAGTCAAAGATACTAAACAAATAAAATCGCAAAATGATCCTTATAAAAAACAAACAAATGCTTTTTTTTAAATAAATGTCTAAATTTTATTTATTAAATTAATTTCTTTTATTTAGATTTTCATTTGTTTTATTCTTTATTGCATTAAATTCGCATTTGTAAAATTATTCAATACAAAATTAATTATTTAAATGTCATGTTATTCAATACTATTACTTTTACTTGATAAATTAAACATTAAATAAATATTAATAAATATTTTTAAAAAAAACTATAGTTTTTAACTTATCAATAAATTTTTTTAATTATATGAATTTTCTGAAATTTGTATTGATAATAATATATTGAAATCAATGAAATGGAAAAATTATTCGTTTGCAATTTATTGAATTTGTTCAATTAAAAATATATTAAATTATTATAAATATTCACGCCTTAAAACTTTGTCGTTATAAGTGCAAGGTATTTTTTTTACATTTTTTTAAATCCTGTTTTTTAAAATTTAACTAATAATTTTACAATTTATGACATATTTTTTCAATTCTTCAATAAAATATCTCATCCCAAATAACCATAAGAATTGAAGAATTTAATGATAAATAAAATTTAAGTTACATAACCATAAATTTTATTTTTTATAAAATATTTTAATATAAATTTTTCAACTTTTAAAAATTTTAATATAATTTTATTTATATTTTTAAAAGTAAATTAAAAAAATATTTAACAGACAGAAAAGAAGATTGCGTCGTTTCTGAATTTCTCGGATCAAATACGATTTACCAAAAATTTTAATATTTTCTTTCCGTGTATCAAATATATTATTAAAAAAAAATTGAGGCACATGATTATTCCATAAAAATCATTAATTAGAATTTTCATTTTAAATAATTTTATTAGAAATAATTATTTTTTAGACAAATTTTCATTTTTCAAATTAAAATTTGACAGATTTTATTTTTATACGAATTTTTACATAACAAAATTTTTAGCTATCAAATTTTCATTTAGCAGAATTTTAATTTAAGGGGGCTTCTCATTCAATTGAATTTTATGTGATTCGAATTTTTAAATGACAGAAATTCTAATTCGCGGAATTTTAATTTCTCCGAATTTTTATTTGTGCGAATTTTTGAATTGATAGAATTTTTTAAGACGCCGAATTTTCATTTATCTGAAATTACAAATGGCCAAATAAATTATCGACAGAAAGATTTCGGCGCAATTTTTAAAATTGACCAATTAGAAATTATCAAGAAAATCGTGATTGGTCAATTTTTAAAATTGCGCCGAAATCTTTCTGTCGATAGTTTATTTAGCCATTTGTAATTTCGGACAAATGAAAATTCGGCGTCTTAAAAAATTCGGACAAATTAAAATTCGGTCAATTGGAATTTTTGTCATTTAAAAATTCGAATCACATAAAATTCAATTGAATGAGAATTTTGTTAAATTAAAATTCATTTAATTTGAAAATCTTTTAAATAAAAAGTCATGTAAATTAAATGACTATAAAATAAAAATTCTGCCAAAGAAAAATTCAGTAGCTAAAAATTTTCTTAAGTAAAAATTCATACAAAAAAAGAAATTATGTTAAATTCTAATTCGAAAAATGAAAATTTGTCTAAAAAAATAATTATTTCTAATATAAAATTCTTTAAAATGAAAATTCTAATTAATGATTTTTATGGAAAATTCAGGCTTCCTAAAAATTTGTCTACCATATTTGAACGTTTCATTGAAATATTCCAAAAATTATTTAAACAATTAATAGCTAAAAAAACTGTAATAAAAATAAAAATTTCAGAATCTTAAGGATCAGATTTTGACTACCAACGTTTGGTTAGAACATGTAAGTTTCTTTTGATAATTTTTTTTACATAATTTGATATTTCATTATAATATTGTATATATATAGTAATTAAAGTGTATATGTATTAAATTTATAAAAATCAATGAAATTAAGATAAAGAAACTTCTAGGAATGGCAAGATCATAAATTTCAATGGGATCCTTCAGAATACGGTGGGATGACAGAATTATATGTTCCTAGCGAACATATATGGTTACCTGATATTGTTCTTTACAATAAGTACGTATTTTGAGTTTTTTAAGAAAAAAAAAACATTTATATTTCATTTAAATAATTGTTTACTTAACTATTATCAAATAAATATTTATTTGTACGAAATAATTCTTATTTGAATCATTTAAATATATATAGTATTTGTTTTAAATGTACAGAAACTTATTATAGTACGAATACAGTTTTATTGATTCAAATAAAATTTTTTCGCTTCAAGTAAATAAATAAATAAATATATTATTTATTTTAAATAATAGTTAAGTAACCTCTAATTATTAAATGTAAATTTTTTTTTGTTTAATATAGGGTTTGCCAGCTATAAATAATTGTCAGACATTTAAAAAATAAATTGTCTTTTTCCGACTATTAAATTCCAAATTATTTTCAATCTATAGATGATTAATAACGAAAAATATAAAAATGCACATTACCTGAATTTTTTCAGTGCCGATGGCGAATATGGAATCACAACAATGACGAAGGCTGTTCTACATCATACAGGAAAAGTAATTTGGACGCCGCCAGCTATTTTCAAATCCTCATGTGAAATTGATGTCAGATATTTTCCCTTTGACCAACAAATTTGCTTCATGAAATTTGGATCTTGGACTTATGATGGCTTTCAAGTAAGCAACTCCTTCATCTTTAATTATAAAATATAATTTATTATTACCACAATAATTATTCCATTAATATTTAATTTTTTTTTTAATCAAATGAAACATTTTTTAACTTAATTTAACAAAATTATTATTAACTTTTGCAACTATTTACTATTTTGAAATATAATGATAATTACACACGTTTTAAAAAAAAATTCACAAAGAAATGATAAATATTCCAGAGTATCATTTCAAAGAATTGACAAAAGATTTAATCTATAAATTAATTGTATTTTTTCACACATCTAAATAAATTTTCCAAAGTTCTGAATAAATTAGAACATTATTAACAAAGTTTATCTCTTATAAAATTAATCTAAAAAGTTTGGCAGAAAAGTTTTTTCTTCGATTTAGTTTATTCAGAACTTTGTGGAACTGATTTTCCACAAAATGGAGAGAGAGAGACAATTAATCTAAAAGCCCGATTTATAACAAAAGATATATATATATATATATGAATTCATTTAAAAATTCATCCCCCATCTGAAGCAGACTCAATGAAGAAGTTTAATTCTTTAAAAACAGATAGACTTGAAGCACAAAGATTCACAAGAGGGAGATGACAAAGTGGATGTTGGAATTGATTTACGTGAATATTATCCAAGTGTCGAGTGGGATATTCTCAATGTTCCAGCAGAACGACATGAAAAATATTATTCCTGCTGTCAGGAACCATATCCTGATATTTTTTTCAACATTACACTAAGAAGAAAAACTCTTTTCTACACAGTCAATTTAATTATTCCATGCGTTGGTATCTCTTATCTTTCGGTACTTGCATTCTATCTTCCAGCTGATTCGGGTGAAAAAATTGCTCTCTGCATCAATATTCTACTTTCGCAAACAATGTTTTTCTTATTGATTTCTGAAATTATTCCCTCAACATCACTGGCACTGCCATTACTTGGAAAATATCTTCTCTTCACTATGATACTTGTGGGATTTTCTGTTGTCATCACAATTATTATTTTAAATATTCATTATCGAAAACCAAGTACTCATAAAATGGCACCATGGGTGAGAAAGATTTTTATACGTCGATTACCCAAATTATTATTGATGAGAGTACCTGATGATCTTCTCAATGAACTCTCGGCACACAAAATTTATGGACGTCGTTCTGGTAGTAAAAAGGACAAATTTAAGGATGCAATATCGGCCGCAGTTCAATCATCATCTATTGTATCATCGCCAGAATCTGCTCGACATGCAGGAATTGGAGGTAACTATTAAAAATTACGAATTGCAATATAATAAAAGTATTCGATATGTACCTTTATGTTTTAAGTCATTTTTTCATATATCATTTACATTTTTTACATCAATTTAGTGAAAAATAATATTTAATAGCTGAAAAATATAGCGGGACGCATGATTATGTTCTAAAAATCATTAGTTAGAATTTTCATTTTATGGAATTTCATTTTTGTGATAATTATTTTTCAGTAGAATTTTTATTTGTTTGAATTAGTATTTTGCAGAATTTTCATCAAAACGATTTTCTATATTGCATAATTTTTTATATAACCGAAAATTCACTTCACAGAATTTTTATTTGTTCCAATTTTTAGTTGTCAGAATTTTTATTTGCTCGAATTTTTATTTAACATAATAGGCATTTTAAAGAATTTTTATTGGGTAGAATTTCATTGCATATAGAATTTTCTTTCAGATGAATTTTCATTTGTTCGAAATTGCAAATGACCAAACAAACAATCGATAGAAAGATTTCGGGGCAATTTTTAAAATTAACCAATCACAATTTTATGGATAATTTTTGATTAGTTAATTTTAAAAATCGCGCCGAAATCTTTCTATCGATTATTTGTTCGGTCATTTGCAATTTCGGACAAATGAAAATTTTATCAATTAGAAATTCTGTTAAATGATTTTTCGGTTAAATAAAAATTCTGTAGTATGAAAAATCGGTTATATGAAAATTGTATCAAATAATAATTCGAACAAATGAAAATTCATCTGAAAGAATAAAATGAAAATTCTATGCAATGAAATTCTACCCAATAAAAATTCTTAAAATGCCTATTATGTTAAATGAAAATTAGAGCAAATAAAAATTCTGTCAAATAAAAATTTTGTGAAGTAAATTTTCGGTTATATAAAAAATTCTGTAATATAGAAAATCGTTTTCATGAAAATTCTGCAAAATACTAATTCGAACAAATAAAAATACGTCTCAAAAATAATTATGACAAATTAAATTCCATAAAATGAAAATTCTAACTAATGATTTTTACAAAATAATCATGCGGTCCAAAATAGCATTTCGCTGTGTCCTAACCTCTGAGTGCAAAACTTTCAAGCGCCAAGGTTATCCCATAAAAATCATTAGTTAAAATTTTCATTTTTAAGAATTTTATTTAATTTTTATTTTTATTTTTCGAATTTGCATTTGATAAAATTTAAACAAATTTTTACTTCACAGAATTCAATTCAAAATTTTTGTTTTACAAAATTTCTCTTTACATAACTTTTTATTTAAAATAATTCTAATTTAACCGATTTTTAATTTATCAAAATTAATTAATTTAAAGAGATTCAAATTTTTAAATGTAAAAATTTTCAATTCACCGAATCTTCATTTGTGCGAATTTTTGTTTGTATGAATTGTTATTTGATGGATTTTTTAAAACGCCGAATTTATATTTGTCCAAAATAGCAAATTGCCGAATAAACAAAAAACAGTAAAAAATTTTGATTTGATTTTAAAAATTTACAAATCACGATTTTCTTAATACTTTTTGATCTTGATCAATTACAAAAATTGCACCGAAATTTTTCCATCAATTTTTTATTTGATTACAATTTGCAATTTCGAACAAATGGAAATTCGGCGTTTTAACAAAATTTTTCAAACAAAAATTCAAACGAATGAAGATTTAGTGAATTGGAAATTCAGAGATTTAAAAATTTGAATAAATTTAAATTCTGTTGAATGAGAATTATGTTAAATTAAAATTCGGTTAAATTTGAAATAATTTAAATAAAAAGTTGTGTAACGAGAAATTTTGTAAACTAAAAATTCCGCCAAATCAAAATTCGGCACCAAAAAAATTCTGTGAAGTAAAAATTTTGTTTAAAAAGAAATTCTTGCAAATCAAGGAATTCGATAAATAAAAATTCGCTTGAAAAATAATTATATCTAATAAAACTTATCAGAAAATTAAAGATAAAAAATCTGACTTCTCGAATTCACAATAGAAAATTAAACAATATATTTATCTTTTTATAAAGTTAAAAGAAAAAAAAAATGCGTATTTTTATTAATAAATCGGATGCCGTAGCAATAGTAAAAAATCCCCAAAAAAAAAATTTAAGGTCATGTGATTGTTGTGATTCTACCTACATGTAAATTTTTTCCGATGGTTTTCTCGTAAAATATTTAATACATTGAGTTAAAATTTTCTAGAGAACTCAAAAAATAGTACAAGTAATCACTGTTTATAGAGTATTAATATATTTTGTAAAAAAAATTTATTTTCTTACCAGGTTGTAATGGATTGCATACAACATCGGTGCACAACAGATTCCTGGTTGGAACCCTGGCTGGCTACAATGGTCTTCCAACTGTGATGTCAGGATTAGATGAATCAATGAGCGACGTTACACCACGTAAAAAATATCCCTTTGAACTTGAAAAAGCTCTTCATAATGTTATGTTCATTCAACATCATATTCAAAGACAGGACGAATTTAATGCTGTAAGTATTGAAATGGAAAAGAAAAATTTATAAATTCCAAAATCTGAAAAAGCAAAGAAACAAAAATTAAATTTAAAAAAATATATAATATACCATATCAACAAAATTGAAAAAAAAAATTTTTTCCAGATAGATTTTAGCAAACTTATTATTTAGAAAAATTTTTATCTCACTTTTACGACTTTACGTATTTTTTTTCTACTTTCTGACAAACAATATTAAACAATTAAATATCAAACAATATTTACAGGCCAGTTTCACCAACTCAGGTTAAAAGTTAATCAGCGATTATAAAGCCAATTTAACCATACATGATTGGTCGGTTAGGGATTTAATTGTTTAATAACTTTTAACCGCAGTTGGTGAAACTGGGCCTAAGTGGCATATTTAAAAATTGTTAAATAAAAATTTTATTCATTAAAAATTGTCGATGGGTAAAAATTACCCCAGTTGACGGTAGTTGCAATTATGTAAAATTTTTCATTTTCTTGAATTGTTGATTTATTAATTTTTTTTTACAGGAAGATCAAGATTGGGGATTTGTGGCAATGGTAATGGATCGTCTCTTTCTTTTTATATTCACAATTTGCTCTCTCGTAGGAACGGTTGCAATTCTCGCCGAAGCTCCAGCACTTTATGACAACACTGAACCTATTGATATGCAATTCTCATCTATTGCTCAACAACAGTTATTTCCTGGGAAAGTGCTTGAAAAACTAGCACAAATACCTCGTTAATTCTTAATTTTTTTTTTTTTAAGTATTTTCCTTTCTTAGAATTCAATTATTATGTTTCATGACAAAAAGTCAAAATAAGCGCAAATTAATTAATTACAAAACAACAAATTCCTTCTTTTCTTTTTTATACGGGGCAATTCCATGTGAGATTTCGAAAAAAATTTTTTTTTGACTGAGATATTTTTTTTCAAAATTATGAAAAATGAAAAATAAGAAAATATGAATGTTTTTTTATTTCTTTATTTGATGAAATTGATGATTTTTTTTACGAAGCTGAAGTACGCAACGTTTATGATAAACGATTTCTAAAGAAATAATTTTTTAAAATGGGAAAACTCTATAATTTTTTGTCTAAAAAATATTTCTTGTAGTTTTCATTATAAAAAAAAAATTTTTTAGACAAAAAATCATAGAATTTTTCATTTTAAAAAATTATTTCTTTAAAAATCGTTTATCATAAACGTTGCGTACTTCAGATTCGTGATTTTTTTTTTAATTTAACGTCGTCAGAAGCAGAGTATACTCAGAGAAATATATTTTATTCGCTTTTATTTGAAGCAAATAAAAATATATTTGTCACAGAGCCTTATAAATTTTTCTTTATTTTAGATACAAAAATTTATTTAGCACAAATAAAATTTTTTTTAACGCAAATAAATTTTATTTGAAACAAGTAAATATTTTTTTGGCTTTGAGACAAATATATCTTTTCTCTGGGTGTACAGATAAAAAAATAATAGTATACAGGGTGATCAAAATGTTCTAGACCCTCTAAAAAATTTTTTTTTTCTAAATCGATTTTCTTTTAATTTTTAAACATAGAAAAAGTCGATTTAGAAAAAAAAAGTTTTTTTTTTTGGGGGGGGGGGGATCTGGTAGTAAAAATAGCGTAAATACAATGGAAAAATCTGAAAAAAAAATTAAATTTAAGTTTAAAAAATTTCAAAAATCACTTTGGTTTTGAAAAAAGTCACTTTCAATTTTTTAGATATTTCTGACAAAATTAAAAAATTATAATTTCTACAATTTTTTCCAAATAAAAAAATACTTATTTTCTTATTTTTCATAAAAAGTTTGAAACAAAATATCTCAGGCAAAAAAAATTTTTAAATGGAAATTTCCCATGAAATTCTTCATATATATAAAAAAAAAATCTAAAACTCTCAAAGAACTGTCTTAAACATCTAAAAAGTCGCTTACTAGATTTCACTTTCAAATTATAAAGAGTCAACTCTCAGCATAAACGGAGACATATATCAAATTTAGCGATTTATATATAAAAGAAGAGAAAAAAAAAACACAAAAAAAAACTAGGCAGTCAATTTTTTACAAGCTGCTTTGAGTGACAATAACAAGGGTGTAGTTAAGTAGTGAATTTTTTTTTTAAACACTCAACTTAGCTGAATACATGAAACAAAACTAGTTTAAAGAGTTGAAAGGTTTTTTCAAAAAATAACATTGAAAAAGAAAACTTTCTCCTTTTAATAAAAATGGAAATATACGTTTATTGAATAATGACGTTGAGAAAAGTTACATCACAAAGTAAATAAACGTTTTAATCAAAAAGATACCGCACAACACATTCGGTACTTTTGAGACTGATGAATTAATATACATATATATATTATAGAAATACATATAGCGACATATTAAAAAATAAGTAAATATGTACCATGATAAATGGTAAATTAATATCCTTCTTTAAAATTCATAACATTTTAGGCGATTGCACTCCAAAAAAAAAATGGAATAATTCTCTCTCACAATTCTTTCAACTCTTGACTGCATTTCACATTTTTATCACTTGTAGATATTGTTATAACATTAACAATTCTATGGGAAGCATTTTATGGCTGACTGACTAAAAACCTAACATTTCTTTATATCTATATTATAATATATATCTGTATAATCTGTACCTTGGAATGATTTTCTTTACGCAGTAATCGCATATCTTCAGGCACAGTCGACAGAAAACCAAAACAAATATATAGATTATTTAAATTATTGTATAAAACGTAAATTTTCTTATATGAAAAAAAAATATATATATAATATAATGGTTCTTTCAATAAAATGGTTTAAAATCATTTCTCCTCTAGGGGAAAAAAAAAACAATTTTAAAATTTTAGAAAAACAACTTATTTTTCTAGGAATATTATATTATACACTTTATATTTTCTGTTTGCTCATTTTAAGATATATTTCACCTGTCACTGTCAGCGTTAAAAATTAATGCTGAAAATTACGAAAAAAAAAATTGTTAACTTATTTTTAAAAATAATATTTATGATTTTATTTCCACTGATATATAATAATGATTGTTTTATTTTTCTCTCTCAACTATTATATTTTCTATTATATATATATTTTTGGTAATTATTTTCATTTGTTTCTTATAATTACTATATTTATTAAACATTTTTTTAATTTTATAACTTTTTTTCATTATATTTTTTCGTTATATTTTTCATTTATAATATTTGTTTATATATTTCTAATTTTTTTTTTTTTTCATAAAAACATTTAAACTAACAAAATCTTTATTGTTGTTTTCTCCCAATTAATAATAAATTATAATTATCTTTTCTGTCATAAAAATTTGCCAAAATTTTAAAAGAAATTATAAACTAATGAAAATAATTTACTCAATAAGGTTCTTATTTTATATTTCATATTTTACCAAATTTTTTTATTGTAAAAAAAAAATTTATTTAGATTTAGATTTTATTTTATTTAACAATTTATAATTATTATATTAATAATAAAATTAATTTAAATTATTATTAAAAATAAAGTTGTTTAGCCAATCCTATACAAGATTCAAAAATTTACTTATCTTTTACTTTAAAAAAAAAGAAGAACCTTATTGAGTAAATAAAAATCATTCGATATAATTTTTTCAGCAGAGAAAATAATTAGAAAAAATATTTAATTTTTGTTTTTTTTTTTATATGTTTCTAATTTTCAACATTCGCCCAAAACTGTTGCAGGTGATTCTTAATCAAACAGATTTTTTTTTTTTTACATAAAAATACAAAAACAAGATAAAAAATTTTTTTAAAGTGAAAATTAATATTAAATAAAAGACTTTAAATTCCTTGAAGTTTCTCAATATAAAATATGAGATAACTTGATTGTGCATGTTCAAAAATATTGTTCATTACGAACATTATTTTTGTGCTAACAATTTTTTTTTTTTTTGTAAATATCTGTTTAAAATACAGTATAATTGTTAATAAATTTATAATAAGATAAAACTATAAACATTAGAGAAATTATTATTGCTATTAGTTTTTCTGTTTTTAATTGTGCAAAAATTCGTAACAATAAATTTCAATTTTTTTTTTTGCGTAATATATGAATGAGCTTTTTAAACTCCGTTCGAATCGTTTTATTTTTTTTTTATCTCGTTTTAATGACTCAATTTATGTAATTTTTAAAAAGTTAATCTATACATAATATATTTATTATTTGAAATATACATCTCTATAGAGATTATTACTTGCAAAATGTATATGTATATATAATTATTGAAAGCTGCTAAGACATCACATTAAACGTTAAAATGCGCGAAATTCAGAAAATTTATAACCAACTTTTTTTTTTAAGATTCGAAAAAAGTTTCTTAAGCATGACTAAATATATCATTGTCTTTTTTGTTATAATCTACGATTACTTGGCAGGTCTATTATATAGCATTTCATTATTCTATTAATTGTAAAATGTTAATTTAAAAAACAGTTCTTTTTAAAATAATTGTATAATTTTAGGCGAATTTTTATTAAAAGAAAAAACAAAGAAGACAATGAAACTATAAAAAAGAATTTTCTTTTCTGTAAATTTTTTCTTAATTAAAGAATATTAAATTTTTTGTAATAAAAAATTTGTATAAATGATTCATATATCGTGGAAAAAACATAGGTAAACCATTTCTTAATTATAATTATTCTTCATTTCCACACAAATATTGTAAATCTCACTGTTCAGAGTACCTTTTAGTAATCTCGTCAAATATTTTCACTCACATTACACACTTACACTTGTGTCGATTTTGTTTGATATTAAAAACTTGGAAAATCATATTTTTGATTAAATTAACTTAAAAAACACGATATTTGAGGGAAAATCAAAGTTTTACAAAAAAACGAAAATCGTAAAGAAAATGCACTGGTAAAAAATCACTAGTGAGCTTATATATAAAAAAAAAAAAACGAATCAGTTAAAGAACTATCGAAAATCACTGGATGTTTATTTTTCCTTTTTAAAAATAACTATCGATAGATATTTTTTTTCTATTCTAATAGAAAAAAACTAAAGAAAATAAAAAATAAAATGCCTTTCACAACCAAATATATACGTGAAATAAAATGTAAATATTAAAAAAAAAAAAATGTCATCTTAGAAATATGAAGAACGACACATGTCTCGAATTTAAAACTCTCTCTCATTCAAACTATACAACTATATAATATATATAAACAATATATAATTATAATTATATAAACATTCCTACTTAAAATTCTATAATTTTGCCTATTTACTCGTCGGTAGCTTTATATAAAATCTATAAAGATCGTGAGCCAATAGATAACGAATACATTTAAAATTTGATCATCTTATAGATTCTCTCTATCCATATTTAGTATTATATATATATATAAAGATATTATATTATTTCAGCACAGATAATAAGATTCCTAAGAAAATCAACCCTTCCATGTTCCAATGTAAGTTTTACAGTGGGGACAAAAGTGATGTACGCTCGAAAAGGCGTTCATGCAGTATGGCAGACAAGAACAGAGACAACATCTGAAAGTAAAAAATTAATCGATAAAATTCAGATACCTAAAAAAAATTTTCATCTCCAACCCAAAACTATGCAAAGCAAATACGAAACAAAAATCACAAAAACTCAACACCAGGATTGTCTCAAGAATAAATTTTTCAATTTCTCTGACATAAAATTCTCACTAACAAAAAAAAATTTTTTTTATTAATTTTTGAGAAGCAAATTTTTAAAACTCGATAAATCCATTTTTTTCAAAAAAGAAATCTTCTTAATATATATTTCACTCTTTTTACTAAAACAGGGATATTTTTTTTTTAAAATAGGTAAAAAAAAGTAATTAAAAAACTGATGGTTAAAGCAATTAAAGTGCAAAATAACAAATTTGTATTTTCTACATATTTAAATTTGAATTAATAGAAATTTTTAATGAATTTGTAACTTAAATCAATTAACATTTGGTTAATTTGAAAGTCGATGAAAAATTTTGATCAATTCAAACTTGGATCAATTTATAGATAAGATGAATTCTGTATTTTTGTGTGTTCTATAAATTAATATATAAATTCAGAAATTTCAAAAAAAAAAATACTTTTTAAACTAGTAAATTAATTTTTAAACAATATTATTAAATTGAAAATTTAATTATTTTTTAAATATTATGTTCACAAATTAATCGGATTAAAAATAAATATAATAAAAAAAAAAATTAATTTAAAAGAGACAAAATAAAGTTCTCATACAAGAAGAAAAAATAAATAAAATTTTGTACAAGTTGAGAAAAAAATAATATTCAAATTTTCGAGAAGAGAAAAAGAAATCCACACCGAGAAAAAAATGATTTAAGAGAAAATAGAATTCAACCCAGAAGAGAAGAAAAAAACGATGTTGAAGTTCACAACGTTTATGATCAACGATTTTTAAAGAAATATTTTTTTTAATGGAAAATAAAAATAAATAAATAAAAAATAAAATAAAATAAATTAGGTAATGAAATTAAAAAAACTAAATAAATAAAATACAACAACAAATTTATTTTCTAATCGTTTATCAGAAACGTTGTGCACTTTAATTTCATGAAAAATAGAAGAATAAAAGAATGATAAAAAAAAAAATTTCAAACATCCAAAAGGCTTCGAATTATCTGACCTGGTTTCTTCTTGTTCTTGAAAGTGCAAACAATGAATAATAATTAACCATAACCTTCGATTATAGCAAAAACTACGTTGAAAAAATTTTTATGAATAAATTTACAATAAATTAAAAATAATTATAGATGTCCGATTTCATATATGAAATATGATATCAAAGTTTTCGCGTATTATTTTTATTTTAAGTATGTGACATATTATAATGTCTTAAATAAAGAGATTAACATTCAGTAATGCAATGTTTAACAAAAGAAACTAAATTTTCAAGAAACAACATTTATCAAGAAAAAATTAAAAAAAAAAGAAATATTTGATAGAAATAGAAAAAAGCAGAGTTCCTATAGACTTTTTAAGGACACAAATCAGCTTTATCGTAAAAAAAACTGGGGGTACACTGTTTCTAAAAATTATTTTCTAATTTATTATTTTCTCAAGAATCAAGTTTTTATTTTCAAATAACAATCAAAATTAAATTTTTTTTCTATTAACCTTTTTCGAAAAGCTTGAAATCGTCGGCAATTGTTACAAATTTCGTAAAAAAATAATTCCATTAGAAAAAACTTTTTTTTTATAAAATAAGGATTAGAAAATATTTTTTAAAAATAGGTACCACTTGCTAAAAAAAAATTTAATTTAAATAAATTAATAACTAATTATAATTTTTTACTAATTGATTAAACTTTCATTTTTGTTACTCCATTGCAATTTTAAATAAAAAAAAAAAAATTACTACTCGAATTTTAAAAAAGTCGATTAGTCGCATTTTAAATTATGAAAGTCGAAATAAGTCATTAAAAATAAAAATAAAATAAACTTATAATACTCTGAATCCTGATGAATTTATTTGTCTATATTCTAAATTAACGGCGATGAAGTTTACAACGTTTATGATCATCGATTCTGAAGAAAACATATCTTTCTGTGCAAATTATTATAATTTTTTGTCTAAATAAAATTTTTATAACCGTTTCTCGATCATCAATTTTTAAAAGAAAATAATTTTTAGACAAAAAATTTAAATATTTTACAAATGAAAAATATTTTGTTTTTTCAATTATTGTTCATAAACGTTGTGAACATCATCAACGTATTTTAAAATACGAAAATAAAATTCTAAATGAACATTCAAAACTTCAGAATAAGCTAAAAGTTTTGAACGTTCAAATGAATGAAATTTTTTTTGCAACTTCTTTAATTACGAATTTTATCACAAAATAATGTTTTAAATATCTAAAAAGAAGTGATTTATTATTATTATTATAATTTATAGATTGAAAAAAATATTTCGCTCATTTGATCGTTCAGAATTTTTGGCTCATACTTCAAAAATAGAATCAAATTATACTTCTTGAATTAATAAATTATATGACTAGAAAAATAAATCAAGCAAAGATGCAATTATTCAAAAGACAATGTGACGTTCAATAAATTAAATATGTACATAATATGATTAATGTTTAAACTTACCCAAGAAGACAGAGAATAAAACAACAGATGTGTGCACTGGGTTGATGATCTGAAACTGTCGTCGTTTTGATATCAGCATGACAAGTTGGACATCTCATTTTCACGGCATTTGGTCCTAATGATACTGCAACATGTTGATGAACTATTCGCACTTCTTGAGTAGGTGGTTGTGAAAAATTTTGTTGTGCTCCAAATTGTTGAGGATAAGGTGCATTACTTTGAGATGGTGGTACTGTTATTGGTGCTGAAGTTCCTTGCGGTACAACTGAAAATATTTGCAATTATTATATATAAATTTTCATAAATACTTTATTCATATAATCGCGTTTTAATGAAAAAGGCTTCCCCATGACGCACAACTAATACTGATTTTTTTAAACAATAAATCAACAATTTTCAATCCATTTCGTATTCACGGCATTTGAACTTGATAAATTAATACAACTACACTTTATTTAAGAGAAAATATTAATAATTATTGAATTTATTGTCAAATATTTAAAGGCTTCTCCATGACGATTCTGTGAATTCCTATGTAAAATTGTCGCTTTAAAGGTGTAAAAACAAAAAAATCAATTATAAAATTAGTTTCTGCCATAATGAATCTACTTCGAGGAGCTAATTATTGCTTCTGCTAAAGTATAAATAAATTTTGGTTGGAATTTTTGTGAAATAATTCAGTTTTATTAAAAGACTTCCCTATAACTCATAAAACTAGGGACAATAATTAACATCGAAAAAAAGATTTAAAAAAAATTAATTTTTTTGTAAAACCAATTTTTTTTTTTGAATTCTACAAACTTGGACAATAAAAAAATGTTACCAATAATTATTTTTATTATTGTATAATAAGCCAAAAATTCTGAACGTTCAAATAAATGAAATATTTTTTTCAATCTATAAATTATTAAAAAATTATGATGTCTATATGTAAAATGAAACAGTAAATTAAACAATTATTAAATTAATAACTTTTTTTTAAATATTTAAAACAATATTTTATAATAAAATTAGTACTTAAAGAAGTATTGCAAAAAAGAATTTCGGTCATTTGAACGTTAAAAACTTTTGGCTCATATTGTATATTGCAAAATTTTTTTTTTCTTAAATTTTTAAAATTGTCACCTTAACTTTTTTCCTGTGTAACTTATTTTAAAAATTTTAATTTCGAAGTAAATATAAATAAAATTTTATTTAATAATTGTCAATAATAAATTGTACGGATGTCAAAAACCATTATTATAAATTATAGAATTTTTCTAAATATTAATTTAATAATTGTTTAATTTACTGTTTTATTTTACATGGCCATCAAAAATTTTTAATAATTTATAGATTGAAAAAAATATTTCGTTTATTTGAACGTTCAGAACTTTTGGCTAATAAAAATTTAATTCAACTGAAATAAATGAGAAAAGTTTCCTAATAAATAGATTTATATATATAGCAATAGTATCTTAATGGAATGAACTTACATGGAGTTGGCATAGGCATTTGAGATCCAGCTGCTGGATATGGTGGATTACTTGGTAGATTAGCAACATATCCAGATTGAGCAACAGCTTCTTCATAAGAAGGTGGAGCTGTCGGTAAAGGAGCTGCAGGAGCTGTAGGACCTGGTTGAGGCATTTCTTGAACTTTTTCCATTTCTTTAAACCTGCAATTATTAAAATTTAATATTTAAATTGAATTTTCATAAAAAAAACTTCAAATATATCTAAATTATGATTTTGATTTTTCAAAATCGGAAATCTTCTCATAAAACTAATAAAGTATTTATAAGTGTGGAAAAAAATAGCAACGCCATTTTATTTTTTTCAAAAAAATAATTTTTGTCCTAATTTGTGCTGCAAAATTTTATTTTTCAAAAATAATAATTAAGACATGAATTTCCCAAAAAAAAAAAAAAAACATTATTAAGCTCAAAAAAAAGCCACTTATATGTAATTAAAAATAAACTATTGTTCAAGACAAGAAAAAAAAAGAAATTCTGACAATTTTCAAAATATTTAATAATAAATTATTCAAATTAAGTCAAATTTAAATTCAAGAAACAATTTTTAATCTCACAAATATTCAAAAATTATTATTGTTCAAAAACAAATTTTGTGTTAAATTGTACTAATCGAAAACACAAAAATAAACAATCATAACATTTACGAAAAATAAGTTTTTTTTCAAAATAATCTTATATTATAATTCCAAGAAACATTTTTTTTACTCAGAAATAATAAAAAAAAAAAAAAAACATTTTTCAAAAACAAATTTTGTGCTGAATTGTGCTACTCTAACACAAAAAGAGAAACAATGTTAAAACATGTACGAAAAAATTTGTTTTTGTAAAATAATACTTTTATTATACTATTTCTGAATAAAAAAAAATAAAATATTTCTTGGAATTTTAATATTAATATTATATTTTATTATTATTATTATATTTGGAAAAAAAATTTTATTTCTCGTAAATGATGTTTTTATTTTAGTGCTCGACTAGTACAATTCAGCAAAAAATTTGTTTTTGAAGCTAATAATAATTTTTGAATATTTCTAGGGTTAAAAATTGTTTTTTGAATTTAAATTTGAATTATTTTGAAAAATTTTGAAAATTGTAGTAATAATTGCTTTTAATTCTGGTCTTACACAATGATTTTCTTTTTAATTAAATATAAATGGCTTTTTAGAGCTTAATAATTTTTTTTCTGATATATTCGAGTTCTAATTAATTTTTCAAACAAATTTTTTGCAACACAAATTTTCATAAAAATTATTCTTTTTCTGAAAAAATCAAATGCCATTGCTAATTTCTTGCTTATTAATTTATAAAAAATAAATAATAAAATATTTTAAATACTAATAAAAACAAAATAATAATAGAATTAGTTAATAATATTTTAACAAAACATGTAAAATAAAATATTTCCAATTAACCTTTAGCTGACACACTGGGGTCAAAATTTGTTTACTTTTAAGTTATTGCACAATACTTATAATGTATAAACCTCTGAAGGCCATTTAAAAAAATTTTTAAGTAAAAATATTTGTCTATCTTCTAGTTAATGCCACTTTTTCGCACAATTTGTCTGTTTGATTCCACACAATTGTGGCAGTTATAACGGTTAAAAATGTTTCCAAATAAATTTCTCGTTTCTTAAACTTTTATGAACTTCTACTTCATTTTAAATTCCGCGTATTTTTAGTAACACTATTTTAAATTCAAAACATAATTCCCTCCAGACTTTCATCGTGGGAGAGAAATCTTCAGAAACTTATTACAAAAAAAAAAAAATCCCTCTAATACCTATCAAATTTAAAGCAATTCATAATTTAACGATAATGGTAAAAAAAAAAACAGAAACAATGTTTTTAAAAACAAGGAAAAGGAAAACATTAGAAAAAATTACATAATTGATGCTGCGTTATAAAAAAAAATTCCATTAAGTTTCAATATATCACAGATATATGCAAAATTCTAGAAAATAGTATGAATTCTATACAAAAAAAAATGGAAATTTTTCATACGAGTTTCATCGCAACAGTGAAAATGAATAAAGTATTATATAGACGAATAGAAAGTTTAACGGAAGTTAAGTCAGAATGTTTTCACTCTTTGTCAATATTTCGGTCAAGGAATTGCAATAATTATTATTAATAATGCAATAATAAATTGTTATTACATTTTTTGGGTTTTTTTTTTGTTTTTTTTTAATTAAAATTTAAACATATAATTTTGTTCATTTTATTCTAGTTGACATTTGGCATACGAGCAAATAATCATTTTAAAATACCAATTATTTACTCTGCAAAAAAAAAACTACTTGCGTGAATAATTTAAACATTATTTGCAAAACACGCAATAATTATACAGAATAATAATTATCTATTTTATTGCACTTGCATAATAAGAATTTTCTAATCATATTTATTTTTTTCAAAAAGTTAAATATTTTAAATATGTTTAATCTCAAAAAAAAAAAATTTTTTTCGATAAACATCATGTAAAGTGTTTTTTATAATTAAAAGAAATATATTTTAGAAAAAAAAAGACTCAGTATCAAGGTTCAATAATGAAATTAAATTTTGATTATTAGATAAAATAACAAGTTTTCAATTATTTAAAATTTAATTATTGTTGACAAAGAAAAGAGAAAAAAAAATGCGAAAAAAATTTCAAGTTTCCAAAACTAATATTCCAAGACTCGTGATTTAGATCAAGATAAAAAAAAGCAAGATAAAAATAATATAAGTAATTAATATAAATATTTTGGACTTACCCTTGTTAACAATTAAACTTGATTCTTTCGAAAAGAAAGATTTTTAACAATATTGCAGGATGCACTGAATACGAAAAATTGATTGTTGATTAGAATTCTATAATAACAATCTTCGTGTCATTTGTTTATCGTCACAATAGATAAAAAAATTCCCTGCGCTCAGTTAAGATGAAATCTCTCTATTTTCATAATCTCACATAATGTTTCGGCTGTTGGAAATCCACTGACGCAAAAATCAGAGATGAACTGCTCATATCGTCATCGTAAACTCTATAAAATATGACGCACACAAATAAATACAAACCACATTTACTTTTATCCGTGAAAGTTAATGCTTTTTGCTATATTGCAATATGTATTCCATGCCAGAGCCGAAAAAAAAACATGGACGTTTGACTATATGGGGAGAATTTTGACCTCGCAAATCCTAACCTCTAACTTATAAATGTACTTGACAAAGAATACTTTAAATTTGTCCAGTATAGCAAGAGTCACATTATATACATTTGTATTAAATTACAAAAAGTAAAAAAAAAAAAAAAAAACAATAATAGACTTTAAAGTAATCATGGATCTTTTATTTACCTCTTTCTGAATAAAATATCTGTTACGCGACAATCGTTGAAAACGCACCCAATTGTAAAATAAATGGTAAATTATTAAATATGAATAAATAAGCTTTTAAAATTCCATTAGCGTATAATTTACGGTCTAAATATTATAAACACATCACAATATTAATCACAATTATACAATTAATGCAAAACCGCGCTTATCAACATACCATTCATTCAGTTAAAAGTAGTGCGCATGTGCGAGAAGCAGTGCCACCAACTTGTTTTCAAATAATTTCACATGTATTTTGATTTATTTTAAATTAATGTTAAATTGTGTTAAAAATAATATTAATCTAAAAACAATTATTTAGAGTAAAATTAATAAATTTCATTTTTATTAAACAAAACATAAATATTGTTTTGATATTTTAAAAAAATTTATTTTTCCGCCAATTTTTCATTGCCCTCTATTGGCAGCATTTGATCATTACACAAAATGGCTACTTTCTAATTTACCATAGTTTGTTTTGTTGTGCGTTCTGTATTTTGTTGAAAACGATAAATTATCTGGAATGTTTGAACAACATTAATTCATTGTTAATATGAAGGTAAGACTTTTTATAAAATATATAATTTTAAATGTGTTATAGAAATTTTAGAAAATATTATTTTTGTACTCGGAGCGTTAAATACTTTAGATATTTTTCGCTGTTTTATTAATTTTATATTTAATTATTTTTTTAAACACATGAGAAAGTACGACAAATTAGGATTTATTATGATGTAATACACAATTTATATAATTTTATTAAAATTAAATATATACCTGTATAAGAAGGGCGATGCCTCCTTCAAAACATAACCTAAAAATCAATATACATGACATATATATAAATCCACATAAATCGTATATATCACTGTAAATGGTAATTAAATATTTTTTTCCAATAAAAAGGTAACATTTGCATGAAATGTATTATTTTTTGTACGTAATACTCCTTTGTTAAAATTTTTTTTATTATTTTCTACTTTTAATGAAACTGAAATTTTCAAAGTAACAAAAAACAAGGATAATTATGCTATACTTAAAAAATATTTCTGCTAAAATCGTGAAAATTATTGATTCAAAAATGTATACTACGTAAGTTGTATTATATTTTACAGCATTTGTTTTTGAATCAATAACTTTAATTTTTGTCAAAAATGTTATTGATTCCTTGCAGCATAATGTGTACTTCATTAAAAATGTATTTTTTAAAATGATCGATTTTTCTTTCAAATTCTTGTTTTTTGCAATATTTCCTTAAATTAAAATTTAATTAAAATGAAAATATTTTGAATATTTTCTTTTGTAAATTTATATTAAACATATTTTTTACATTTAATTTTGTTTATATTCTAAGGTTAAAAATTCACCTTTTAACTTATTGGCGAATATTTAATTAACATTTTATCCAAAGTTATTTACCTTTGGAAAATATAAAATTTTTGAAAACACGAATTTTTTAAATTAGGGTTGTTACAAAAATTTAATTAATTTTTTTCTAACTTTTCTTTTTTTCCCTGATATTCAAATAAAATTTTGTCTTTTTCCCTAAACCTGACAAAATATTTTACTCAACAGTAAAATATTTTGTCATGGAAAATTTTATTTTCTACAATTTTCTTAAAATAAAACCCGTGTGTGAGTTTGAAATAAATAAATTAATTTTATTCATTTTTTTCTAAAAGTCTGAATTTCTTAAAAATGTTATTATTATTAAAATATTATTATTAATAAATTATTAAATGTTACAAAAATTTTTTATTTTTCTTTTAATTTTTTTCGAGTTTTTTTATTTGCTTTCATTTTTTCAGGCCTCGGATTATACGAATTTTTCGACTTTTTTTTTTGAAATACAACTTATTTCGACTTATTTTAATAAAATACGACTTATTCGACTTTTTTAAAAAAAAATTTTACAAAATTTTTAAACAAAATACGTCTTCTTTAGTATACAATGCAGATCCTTCTTCAGATCTTTTTTATTTCAATTATTTGACAAATTTTTAACTAAAATTCTTCACTAAATTATTTTTAATAATTTTAATGAAATTCTTCACAAATTCAATTATCTTAAACTATTTTTCAATTAAATTTTTTATAAAATTTAATAATTGTTTATAATAAAAAATTAGCAAATAAATTACCAAAAATTTTTTATTTAAAATCACTTGTTTAATTATTTGCAAAAATTTCAATTATTTTTAATGATTTTTATAATATTCTTAGAAAATTCAATTATCTGAAAGTATTTTTCAGTTAAAAAATTTTCAAATTATTGTATTTTTTGTCTGCAATTTCTAATAAATTTTTTTATTAACAGAAATTATCCAAAAAATTTTAATATTAAAAATCACTTGAAGTTCAATTAATTTCAAAAATCTAAATTGTAAATCTTTGAAAATTCAATTACTTAAAGAAAAAAAATTTTTGTCTAAAATTATATGATAAATTATTTTTAGTTCTGTAAAATTTAATTATTGTCTGAAAATTAACAAAATCTTTTGAAATTCAATTATTTCTAAAAATTTCAATTTTAACTCTTTCAAAATTAATATTATTTAAAAAAAAATTTTTATTTAAGAATCTGTAAAAATTAATTACGTATTACCTGAAATTTTTTTGATCATCAAAACTAAAAACTATGAAAAAATAATTTTTAATTCGAATAAATTGCTTAAATCAGACTTCAAGAAATTATAAAAATTGAACTTTAAAAATTTTTTTTTTGAAATTTGTCCTACTTAAATAAAATTATTTGTGAAAATTTGTCTTACAATTAGTTTGATTTTGAAATATTCGAAAATAAATTTTCTTGAAAATATTCATTATGGAATTATTACCTCCCTGAAGTCGGCGTCGACGCTCAGCGTCGAAAATTATTTTCACGAGACCAAAAATGTCACACCGTTTTCTTAAAGTTTCTTGCTCAAAATTAAGCCCTACAAAACGTCAACCCTTCAGTAATCGCGGAACACGGTTTTTCACCCCTTTCAACCCCCATAACGAAAACACATAGAATTAAAGAAATTAAAATTCATATCTTACAAACAAAAAGCAAGACCAAAATTTTTATTGTTATTTTCACATCCTAGTAATAGTAGACAACTGCTAAAAAAGTTTGCACCCCCAAGCCATGGGGGAAAGTTGTCATTTTCACCCCTAAAACTCGAAAAAATCAAAAAAATACCAATAAAAAATTCATTTCTCACAAACAAAAAGCGAGACCAAAAATTTTATTGTTTTTTTTTCATCCTCACAATAGTAGACAACTGTGAAAAAATTGTGGACCCCCAAGCCATCGGGGAAAGTTGTCATTTTGACCCCTAAAACTCGCAAAAATCGAAAAAATACCAATAAAAAATTCATTTCTCACAAACAAAAAGCGGGACCAAAAATTTTATTGTTATTTTTTCATCCTCACAATAGTGGACAACTGTGAAAAAATTGTGGACCTCAAAGCCATCGGGGAAAGTTGTCATTTTCACCCCTAAAACTCGAAAAAATCAAAAAACTACCAATAAAAAATTCATTTCTCACAAACAAAAAGCGGGACCAAAAATTTTATTGTTATTTTTTCATCCTCACAATAGTGGACAACTGTGAAAAAATTGTGGACCTCAAAGCCATCGGGGAAAGTTGTCATTTTCACCCCTAAAACTCGAAAAAATCAAAAAACTACCAATAAAAAATTCATTTCTCACAAACAAAAAGCGGGACCAAAAATTTTATTGTTATTTTTTCATCCTAGTAGTAATATACAACTGAGAAAAAATTGTGGACCCCCATGCCATCGGGGAAAGTTGTCATTTTCACCCCTAAATCTCGAAAAAATCGAAAAAATACCAATAAAAAATTCATTTCTCACAAACAAAAAGCTGGACCAAAAATTTTATTGTTATTTTTTCATCCTCACAATAGTAGACAACTGTGAAAAAATTGTGGACCCCCAAGCCATCGGGGAAAGTTGTCATTTTGACCCCTAAAACTCGAAAAAATCGAAAAAATACGAATAAAAAATTCATTTCTCACAAACAAAAAGCGGGACCAAAAATTTTATTGTTATTTTTTCATCCTCACAATAGTGGACAACTGTGAAAAAATTGTGGACCTCAAAGCCATCGGGGAAAGTTGTCATTTTCACCCCTAAAACTCGAAAAAATCAAAAAACTACCAATAAAAAATTCATTTCTCACAAACAAAAAGCGGGACCAAAAATTTTATTGTTATTTTTTCATCCTAGTAGTAATATACAACTGAGAAAAAATTGTGGACCCCCATGCCATCGGGGAAAGTTGTCATTTTCACCCCTAAATCTCGAAAAAATCGAAAAAATACCAATAAAAAATTCATTTCTCACAAACAAAAAGCTGGACCAAAAATTTTATTGTTATTTTTTCATCCTCACAATAGTAGACAACTGTGAAAAAATTGTGGACCCCCAAGCCATCGGGGAAAGTTGTCATTTTGACCCCTAAAACTCGAAAAAATCGAAAAAATACGAATAAAAAATTCATTTCTCACAAACAAAAAGCGGGACCAAAAATTTTATTGTTATTTTTTCATCCTCACAATAGTGGACAACTGTGAAAAAATTGTGGACCTCAAAGCCATCGGGGAAAGTTGTCATTTTCACCCCTAAAACTCGAAAAAATCAAAAAACTACCAATAAAAAATTCATTTCTCACAAACAAAAAGCGGGACCAAAAATTTTATTGTTATTTTTTCATCCTAGTAGTAATATACAACTGAGAAAAAATTGTGGACCCCCATGCCATCGGGGAAAGTTGTCATTTTCACCCCTAAATCTCGAAAAAATCGAAAAAATACCAATAAAAAATTCATTTCTCACAAACAAAAAGCTGGACCAAAAATTTTATTGTTATTTTTTCATCCTCACAATAGTAGACAACTGTGAAAAAATTGTGGACCCCCAAGCCATCGGGGAAAGTTGTCATTTTGACCCCTAAAACTCGAAAAAATCGAAAAAATACGAATAAAAAATTCATTTCTCACAAACAAAAAGCGGGACCAAAAATTTTATTGTTATTTTTTCATCCTCACAATAGTGGACAACTGTGAAAAAATTGTGGACCTCAAAGCCATCGGGGAAAGTTGTCATTTTCACCCCTAAAACTCGAAAAAATCAAAAAACTACCAATAAAAAATTCATTTCTCACAAACAAAAAGCGGGACCAAAAATTTTATTGTTATTTTTTCATCCTAGTAGTAATATACAACTGAGAAAAAATTGTGGACCCCCATGCCATCGGGGAAAGTTGTCATTTTCACCCCTAAATCTCGAAAAAATCGAAAAAATACCAATAAAAAATTCATTTCTCACAAACAAAAAGCTGGACCAAAAATTTTATTGTTATTTTTTCATCCTCACAATAGTAGACAACTGTGAAAAAATTGTGGACCCCCAAGCCATCGGGGAAAGTTGTCATTTTGACCCCTAAAACTCGAAAAAATCGAAAAAATACGAATAAAAAATTCATTTCTCACAAACAAAAAGCGGGACCAAAAATTTTATTGTTATTTTTTCATCCTCACAATAGTGGA